TATTATTATTATTATTTATTAATGATAACTATTCTCTTTTCTTATAATTTTTTTAATTCTATTATTTCATCACTATTTGGACGAATAAGACCAAAACAATCACTATTAAACAGAACTACTATAATTTTTATTGAATATCTGAGTGTGTCGTTAAAATTCAAGTAACAGTTATGGCTGTTTTTCGTTTTGTCGGGCCCAAACCTGTAAGAGTTTATACCAGTTAAAAGGTTTTTTCAATTCTAGTTATCTCTTGACTCATCTCCGGAGCGGAGTACAGAGCTACAAAAATATAAATAAAGTAAAACAGTAACAAAAGCTCCTCCACTATGCAGTACGCTGATAATAAAAATGAAAATGGTGTAGGTTACTTGTCTTACTTACAACCCCACTGCACACATGCATTCTTAATGTAGAGCAGTCGAGCGTCCCGCGAGTAGATCCAGAGTAAAGAGGAAAATAAAAAAATTCAAATGAGGCCGGAAAAACTAAAGTGAAGCAAGATAAAACAAACTCTCACTGGCTGGCTCAAGTGAAGCTCAAATTTTAACCGTTTTAATTGCCGGGTAGTTTTTTTCTGCCGCTATATAAACAATTTGCATAATAATTTTATACTTTTTTAGTTATTCAAATTATACTTTCTTTTAAGATTTTTAAAAATGCACATCAGCTGTTGAATTTTGTTTAATAAATCATCAATTAAATATTTATAAAATCATCTAATTTAAAAAATAATTTCTCAACAATAAATAAAACATCAATAATTGAAAAATTTTTTTATAAAAATAAAGTGCCAATTCTTCTGACGTAATTGAGTGGAATGGAAGTGAAGTCTGCAGTAGAATATATTTATAATTTTTCTGTCTTGTAGTTGGCATCGTATCGGAAATAAAGACAAAGATGACATTAATGTTGATCAGAGTTGACATTGTCAAGAGGAAATTCATTTTCGAGCGAGCCACTGGAGATTATGAGCACCGGACTCATGTGTGATAGTTTATCGGATCGAGATTAAAGTGGTGGATGCAATGGCTCCGGAAAAAAGTCATTACATATCAACCGGTGGGAATTTTCGCGTCTCTCAAACATTTTCACGGAGGTAATTTTTTCTCCTTCTTATAGAGCATTGAAGATATTGGTACTGCAAAGTGAGAATTCCTTTGACGAGTTTGTTACCAGAGCGAATAACTTGCGGCTTCGGAAGTCTTATCAAGCCCTGGGTGACGATTGCTGATAAATTTAGATCGAATGGACTCGATATAACGGTATTGAATTTCATACAAGTTTTATGGACCCTTTTGCACCCTTCACTCACTTTTTTTCCTTTTTTAGTCCTTTGATTTTTATTTATTACTTTTGCTGTATAAAATCCGTATTTTAGCAGTTTTAATAAAAAATTAAATTAAATATTTAATAATTAATCATTACCGACAGAAAATCTCTCAATAAAATAATCTTTTTCAAAGTTCTTATACTCTTGCATGGGCTGTAATTACAAATGGCTCGAAATAAAGTCGTTAAATCGACACGAAGCTTCTCAATCATCCGCAAGTTTTCAGATTGGATTTAAAGCTCTTGAACTGGCACTATCAACTTTTTTTTTCCACTTTAGAAAATCACTGAAATCGGCAAACCAATGGCCCCCGACTTAATCCAAGTTTTTTTGCACTTCTCACACAATGTATTAAAAAAAGTAACTTTACATAAAGTTGGTCAATGTCACCACAATAGGAGCAAAGAACTTGCAAAAAATAAAATCTCTTTTAGAGCCAAATAAATTATTCGCAAAGAGATTTATAAGTAAACCGTTAATGTGATTTGTTTCAAGGGTTCAACAAAATTATTCAAAATTTTTTATTTTTTTTACTAAACTCTGCTTCTTTCTTTTACAAACTTGTTTATTTAATGAGCTTTTAAAATTTCTCGGATTATTAATGCTTAATATAAAGTAACTTTAATGCTCTTGTAATTTCAATTGCAAGTTTTATGATTTTTTATAAAGAAGGAATATAAGTAACTTGTTTTATAAATATACTAGAATTTTTAACGGCGCGCATTCGCGCGCCCCCTATCGAAATTCTCGAATGAATTTATCCTGTTCGATTTATATCGATATATTGATATGTTCACGTACCAGGAGATTGACCAATAGTAACTGAGGAGGGTTTATATTCTACCAATAAGGAATCAGGTCCCATTTTTTCGACTATTGACTAACTTCAAACTGTCATGTATTTTTATTGTAGGGAATAAATAATTCTATGAATATTTCACAAGTATAAAAAAAATAATAAGAATAATAATAATTTATTACATAGCAATATAAAAAAAAAAAAAAATAGAAAGAAAACTGCAATTCATATTTACTTTTATTATTCTCTTTGTAAATGTGAATTTTCCCTATCAATTTATCACTCGATACAAAGAGTGGCGCCAAAGAAACCGTCAGTAAAAAAAAACTCGCAATAACTTTGCCGCGTGATGGGTGTAATATGCTTAAACAGTTATCGTTTTGCTTGAAAGAAAAATAAAAGTATTCCGCGATTTAAAAACTTAAACAGTTGTTCGTTAAAATCTCAAAGGGTCGAACTTTGGATCTTTGATACTTAAAACTTTTTTTTTTTTTCGGTAATAAAATTACTTGGCCCATTAATTAAATTACCCGAAACTTTTATTTTTATTGTAAAGTATTGTTATCATTATTAATGAGTGAGTTAATTTAGTAATAAGTGTTTTTATAATTAGCGTGTTAAAGTGTTAGATTAATAATTCCAGCTCATTAGAATAAAAAGTTTAATAAAAATAATATTAAATATTTTTCGAGGTAAAATGGGGTATTTAATATTTTATTTGTTAGATATTTATAAGAAAAAATGCGGTTACTGTCATCAAACAAGATAAAGATGAAAGCGCAATATTAAACGGTATGAATGTCATGAGTAGAAAAGCTCAAGTAAAATATGAATAAGTTTTTAAAACGGAAAAATAATTTCAGAGCGCATATAAATTTTTTTCTCGTTTGATTTCCTTCAGAATAAAGTATTCAAAAAATAAAATTTATTTAACTATTTTTCTTTTCTATTTTTTTTTTTTTTTCATATCAACAGTTGTTGAAAAGGATCTTGAATCTATTTTTCATGAATTCGCGATACCTTTACGGGGTATATACGCAAATATACATGTGTCTAAATTGTATGATATATACTTCCCTCGGGTTATATTAAATTTTAAACTCTACGAAATATATTCTAGTGAGACATAAATGTATATGCGGTAGAAATAAAAACGCGGTAAAAAATGTTGTGTTTTTCTTTATTTACCCAGTTCCTCATTCTTTTTATTCATTTATAAATCCAGATTTTATTTGTTTAATATTTATTTTATTTTTTTGCTTTTTTTACTCGTTTTGGTTCATTTCTATTTGCGTGTCCGCGAGTAAAACATTTTTCACCGTTTTGTTTCTTTGTTTTATTCTACGAGGATTACAATGGAAAATTTAACGTTAATTTTTTTTTTTTTGACAATACATGGAAGAAGGGACAGCTGGAACCGCGGAAAAATTCGCGCGGATTGTTTTCTCCAAAAATAAGTAATATAAAGATAAAAATTACGAAAAAAAGTTTATGAGCGAGTCTGTTAAAACGGAAACTCTTTTGTCATTCAAGACTCTGTCATAATATGCCCGACGAATGTGAACAAAGAGAAATAACGAGTAATGTCGGCGGCTTTTGATTAAAATGTTAAATGTATGTGTAGTTTCGTTAAAAAAATAAGAAAGAAAGATAATTATTATTCCACGAATTCACACTGATCGATATTTTCTGATGATTGACCTAAAATTTTTAATGATAATACCAATTATTGTCATGATAATTATTTCTGTAGCTATTTTCATTATTAAATTTTATAGTGTAAAAAAAATTTTTTATTCATAACTTTTTTTCGATACATTATTCAATATAGTAGTATAAAGTAAAATATTCATTCCAATAAATTTTTCTATTCAACACAATGCTTGCTCTTACAGCAACTAGAAAAATTACTTTCGACTGACAGAATTCACGCGAAAATTTATTAAATTATTCAGCACTGAAAAAGTTTTAATAAAACCTCAGAACTTGAATCTTGTGAATTATTTTTTGTGTTCCAATAAAAACAAATCGATCAACAAGTTTCTGATAAATAAGAGTTATAAATATAATTTATTCTATTGTATTATTAACTTCAGAGAGTCTTGTTAAAAATATAAAAATCCACCCAAAAGTAAAAGATAAAAAAAAATTAAATTTTTCTATTTTTTTAGTGAAAATAAATGAAGTTAATTATTTAATTGTATAATTATCAAAATTGCCAATGAATAAATAGAAAATGTTTTTAGCGTTAAGCGTCAATTTTTAACAAATAAATTTTAATATTTATAAAAAAAAAAAAAAAAAAAGAAGTTAAGATCAAAAGTAAATAATTACTACAAACAATAGAATAATGTGTAATCTGTTAGTGGTAAGTAATTTCGATATAGATACTTTAAATCAGGATAGGATAGGTATTCAGTTTAAGAGAAACTCGATACGAGTCACGAAAGATAGATTACATTCGCCCGGTGGCGTTTACTGACTATTTAAATAGAATTTTACCCCCTAGTTTACATTCATCCTTCAATTAAAGTGTTGATTAAAACTCTGCGAAGCTAGATCTCCTAGCCAGGCACCTAGATCTTGTTCCTTCCTCGGTGTGCCTTCTTACACGTACAAATAATAATATAAAGCTTGACGAGATCTTATCTCATTAAAACCTAGCTTACACAATATTATATTATGTGCACCCCTTTTGCAACTGGGAAGTTATTATGCGACACAGATTGCCGCATTAATACCATCAGCATCGTTTATTAAATTTCATTATTTACTTTTTTAAATTACCCAACCTTAAGGCTAACTTCCGCTCCTCAGTTATTAACACGCAGTTTTTCAATTTTTAAAATTTTAATAGATTTTTAAAGAAACTCACCGGAAGAGCAGAAAACCGAGACCAGTAACCGCTGCCCGACGAACATCGTCGTTAACATCCGAGACCTAGAACGATTAAAGATTTATTGTTTGACTTTATTTTCTATTACACTCTACTGAGTATCAGAGAGGAGAGAAAATAAAAACTATTTAAGGGTAAATATTTAACGTACAGCTACGTGAAGAAGTTTACGGATCGCCTGATTGTTGCCAGTTCCACAGTAAGCCATCGCCAGAGTGTACATTCCACTTCGCCGGAGAATTGGATCCTTGTCAGCGCAAAGTGACGTTACAAGGGGATCCGCTTCTTCTAGCCGACCATACATTGTGAAGGCAATACCCACTGCCAGTCCACGGAGGATTTTTTCGTGCTGAGTTTCTTGAGCGTACTAAAAAAAAAAAAAAATTCATTAATTTTTAGTACAAGATTTAAAAAAAAATTTTTTTTAATTTAGTTTTAAAAGCTTTAAATAAATAAAATATCTTTTATTAATTTTACCATCGTTTTTATAAAAAAAAAAATTTTATTTATAAATATCAACGTAAAAGAGAAAAAAATAAATAAGAAAACTTTATTAAAATCTTCAAAAACCAATTATCAGGCAATTAACCATTGTAATGCAGACAATAAACGTAAAAGAATAAAATTAAAAGCATGAAACACGGTAATAATCGTTTGTACTCAGGTTACTTTCTTACAGCCAACAACTGCAAAAGCTATCGGTACAATGGAGGCAATTAGTACCTCATTTATTCTTACATACTCTTAATAACTCCAGGACATTGCGATTAAATAGCTTGATTCAAAGTTTTACTGGCTCTTTTCTTCATCTATTGATTGAATTTAATTATGCAAATTTGAAATGAAAAATGTAACTCGAGAGTTGATATTAAATGATTAATATTCAACAAGGTATTTAAGATTTTATTTCAACTTAATAAAAATTTGTATTTGCGTTGTGAAATGCCTGGTTTATACTTGTTATATTAATTAGATTTCTGTGAAGGATTAAAATTAATAACTTACAGCAACCATGTCTTCGATAGCTTGAGTGGATTTAGACCCAAGCATAACCATTCCCATTGAGATACCTGCGGCTTCTCCGGTTACTGCGTCGTCCTGATATAAATTAAACTTCAATTGTTCGTAAACGTCCTGTCTGTGTGATCCCATTGCTGCTAGACCTAATCCTAAACATCCTCCGTGACGAACCATCTGAAACATTATTATTATTTTAGTAAATATTAAACAAGAGATTAATTATAAATATAGAATTGATATATTAAATTAAATTAAAATATCAAATATCAATAAACAAAAATTTTATCCGAACTTCGTCGTTGTAGTCTGTCAACAAGTATATATTCATCAATCATTGTTATTTTAATTCAACAAAAATAATTATAATTAATCAATATTTATAAAACATCTGCTTATAGCATAAATTAAATGAAATATCTTTTTTTAATTATCGCAATATTGATAAATCATTCAATATATGATTAAAGTTATTTAATTATAATACGGAAAAAAGTAAACTGTAAAATTCACTCAGATTTCGGTCAATTTTTATAGTTTCAAACAGTACAGCAGACATCGGGGTGGCACAAATGTAAATATTACAAAACTTAATGTAGAAAGTGTAAAAGACACAATTTATAATTTAATATCGAAAATGTGATTAGTAGCTTTCACTATAGTAAATAACGACTTTCTCATCTTAAAAAATTACATTTTCAAACAGTAAAAATTGCCGTTTCAATATTTAGTTTATACTATGAGGAGAAGAAGAAGGTCTCACACTCAGAGAATTTAACATTTGAAACAGTAAATATTATACTCTTAAAATATATATTTTACCAGTCCAAGCAAATCAATAATTATAATTTGATTTTTAGCGTTGCTTTTAAAATTTACCATTTTACTTTGTAAATATTGACGTTGCTTGTATAGAAATTTAGTAACTGTAGTTTATATTTTTTACATATAATGCGATCATTTTTTAGGTACGAAATGATAAATATCAGTCACAATTCTTAATTATTATACTCAAACATTTTCGACATTCACATAGCGAATATTACAGTTTGAAATAGTATTTTCTTCCATGTAAAGAATAAATTGTCGCATTTAAATGATAAATATTCTAAAGTGATTTTTAAAATCACGATTTTACTGTTTGAAATGGTAATTTTTTCCAGTTGATCATTACTTATTATAAATCGACTACTATTTATTACAGTTTACTTTTTTCCGTCAAGGCTAGATTAATTAAAAAAAATAGTATTGATTAAAGTACCTGTCGCAATTTAATAATTAAAAAAAAAAAACAATTACCTCATTCTGAGCATCTTTCAGCTGTCCCAGCAAATAATCAGTAATAGTAGCTCCATGATTAGCATGAATGAGTCCCAGCGCATAGAGACCACCACCCTCAGAGTATCCAGCTCCAGCTCCTTGGTCTCTAGGTAAGTAAGATTGCATCAGAGCAAGAGCTTCTTGTTCATGCCCACGATGAATCACTCCAAGAGAAGCGGTAGCAGTGAGCTTAGCCCAGTTTGTAGCTCTGGCCAGCCAGTCAAGGTTGTCCCTCAAGAACTGGTCGCTGGTAGTCCCGGAGTGCATGAAAGCGTTGGCAATAACCGTAGCAGTGTGACAGATAGAGACTCTGATCGCATCCTTGGTGTTCTTGAGAATCAGCATATCCGTGTGGTTGCTTCTTATCAAAAACTGCAAGTGCAAGTCGATGGAAACCTCTCCTCCAAGAATGCTGGACAGCGCATCAACGCGCTCTTGTTGCTCGCGCTCTTCTTTGGTCAGACTCTCGACACTTCTCTCAGTCTTTTCTTCAACGGGAGTTTCTTCTACTGGAGCGGCAGGGGTTTCCGAGGTAGAAGCCTCAGAACTTGCAGCAGATGTCTCCGCAGCTTTGGCAGGCTTCACGATGGGTTTCACCATCAAGGCACTGGGAATAGGCGCGGTGGCTCTCAGCGCTTGCAGAACCCGTCCTAAAAATTGCTGAGTCGCTGACTCGTAGAGATCGAAGGCAATCTGGTAGGCCATCAGCACGCACTCCTGCGTTCCTCTGCTCAGTCTGTCCAAGAGCTCAGCGACTGCCAGAGGGTCATCCAGGAATATCAAGCACTGGCACATGTTGACATAGTCTGGCGTCCCCAGATTACGGTAGAGGTTCACCAGGCAACGCAAAACTGTATTGCGGAATCCACGATTTTGGATCAGGCTCATCGCCACCTGGAACGCGTAGGAAAGCATCCCCTGGACGTCGTCGGACTGCATGATCGCGGCCTCGAAGATGTCCATGCGACGGGTCTCCAAAGCCAGACCCAAGGCTTGCCTGAATTGGCCGTCGTCTAAGCACCGCTGGAACATTCGGTTAACGATTCCTTCCAATCGAGGGTCGACGGCCTTCGCACCAGCTGGCACCTTTCCTTCAGCCTCCAATTGACGCTGCTGAGTGTAGAAGTCTATGCATTTTGCAATAGTTGTGTCAACGTACTCATTCCGTGCGTTTACGTCGAACAGCTCTCCAGCTCCCAGGGCGTACGTCAACGAGTCTTCGAAGCTTCCTAGGTGGTAGTACACTTTGCTGGCCACCAACGCTGCCAGCTCGTGCTGGTTAAATGTCTTATCCTCATGGAGAATTTCACTGTAATTATTTTTTTAATCTTTATTATTTAATGATACTGAAATTAAGAAACATCTAATAATTTTTAAAATTATTATAGTAGTTTAATTATTATAAAAAAGTTTACTGAAAAATTTCACATTTAAAAAATGAATGACATTAAATTTAGCTGTCACTTTTTAGCGGACAATTTTTTTTTTTAATTTTCTTTAACAAGCAAATTTGTTCCGAAAAATTATTTTAAAAAAATTGCATTTTTAATTTTTTTAAATTTCAACATGTCAACTTTTTTTTTTTTATTCTTTTTGTCATAATTTATTTGTCACAAAAATTTTTAAAATGATCAAATATCTGCTAAATTAATTTTCATTGAAATAAAAATAAAACTTTCAATGCAAAATTTTAAAAATAGGTTTTTAATCATAATTGATTTGTTCTAAATGTCAAAAATTGTCATATGTCAAATAATAGATAGAAACTTTTTTTTTTTTTCTTTCAATAAGTAAGTTATTGTTGAGACAATGTCACTTACATTTTTTCGATGGCTTCAGATATTTCAGGCCAGAACTCATCAACAATCATGTCTAGCTTTTTTAGAGCAAAGACTTTTAACTCCGGCATTGGCTCCTCTAATAAGGAGATTATTCCAGCTAAAAAAATTAATTTGTTAATATTTTTTGGAGTGTATATAAATGAAATAATAGAATTTTCTAAAATTTCTATAAAAATTGTTTGATAATTATTTTTTTAAATCAACAAAATACAATGCATTTTTTTTTTTTTTTTTAATCGTTTATTATTTTTATTTTGTAAATAATTTTATTTCTGTAATATTAAAACATTGGAGATGAGGTTATGGCGGCCATGACATGCAATTCATGGTTCATGGTTCAAGGTAACAATAACATTAAAATTTTATAGAAAAATAATAAATTTACCTGCTGAAGTGATATTCATCTTCATAGTTTAACTTTTTATTAATTGATCAGATATTAATTATCAATAAATGCGATAAAAAACAATTGTTATCTTATATAGAAAATTGACAATTCACAAGTCACTTGCAGTTGCAGGAGACTAGTTTAGAGCAAGTGGAGCTACCGTCAGTGTATAAACTTATGTGTGTGGGGTTGTTAGTACTATATTAATTACAAGATGGCAGTAGTATAGTCGCGCGGTTTTAAAAACTCTGAATATCTTAAATGTCAACGCGTCACTCAAAAGATAAAAATATAAATACTAATCAGAATGATTTATTTGCTAAAAAAATTATTAAATATCTGCTAAATTAATATTCATAATTAAAATAATTTTTTTACAACTGTAATAATAATTACTGATGCGTCATAGCATCTCTGTTGGTCCTGAAAGAGATGTAAGTATTCCAAAAAACAGCGACTATTTGATTGACAAGAACTTGATAATTAAGTGGAACAAGACCAAAGTTAATTAACTGAACCAGAGGCCAGAGCTGAAAAATTATTAATTATTAATAATAAGTGAGTAATAATTTTGACTTAAGTTAGCTTTTACCTTGTAATTATTTATAAGAATGTCTTTGTACTCTTTGGACAATTTTTCTTTAACCCCATCGACATCATTTCCTTGTAGAAAGCCGATGGTCGCCAACAATGCAGCGATGAATGGAGGCGCAAATAGAAATTGGTCACAAGCGACTTTTTTTACGGCCACGACACTGCCCTTGGAGCCGAAAAATTTGTCAAGAACTCCATACCAACCTCTCACAGCAGGTCCCTTAGACGCAATTATAAATATATATAATTATACATATATAAAATATATTTTGGGTAAAAAATTGAATTTACAGCCATGAAGAAACCAATTGCATAAAATTGCGCTGTTCTAACAAAATCCAGTTCGCTAATTTTCCGCTTCTCGACCAAGTTTTGGGCGATTTGATCACCAACACCCATCAGTGTGCCTTCAAAAGTTTTAATTACACATAAGTAAGTAATATTTAATTAATAAAAAGTGAAAAATAATTACCAGCTTGAAGCGCTTGCATACCCATAGGATATTTAACAAGCATATTTTTATAAACTCGAAAAAATTTACTCATATTTAATTAATTTAAATAAATAATTACAACTAAACAAACTTATATAAATAATTAAATGACTTCCACAAAAGGTTACAATAAAATTGCATAATTTTATTTACTCTTAAAATCCTCATCTGTCAACAGAACAATTGTTTCTTAATTTTAAGTCACTTTTACAATTTATCAATAATTACATTTTCATTTATAAAAAAATATAAATAATTTTTATTTTAAAAAATGTCACTTTTAACTTTTTTTAAGTAATTCACAATATTTTTGACTACAAGTGATTTTTATTTATAATTTTTTTTTATTTTTCCCACATGATCCGCATCGACTATCGATACATCGACATGTCTCGATTTAAATACTAATAATAATAACATATATTTATAGTCAAGTTTGTTTATAGCCTCAATCGTGTTGTCATGGATAGACTTTTAGTATCAAAACATCAGTGATAGATCAAACAAATTTCAATTGTCAACAATAATTAGTAAAAATACCAGCCCAATTGTTAATTACTAACTAAAAATAATTTATTTCCTAAGAAATTTATTTATTATCACAAATATCAAGTAAGCATTAATTTATAGCCTAAAAATTTTATTTTTTGAATGAAGATAAAGTTAGTTATTTTTTCCAGGTGACTATTTATTGTAAAAATGTTTAAAAATACATTCCAAATTGTATTTTTGACAATTTTATACTCAATCAGCAGGAAGCCGCTTTAGATATATGGGACAAAAAGCTCCAAAACGGTCACATAAAACGCATCATACTGACAATGATATTCAGAGCTTAGTGTTTGAAATACTTGGTAGCAATGTAAATATTGTTATTATTATGATTATTAAAAATCTAACGAACTATTTTACGTTTGAAGTTCAAATAAGTAGTAATAATATTTTTTATGACACTGAAATTAACGATATTATGTGATATACATAGAGATATTATGTATAATATGTGTACATAAATAAACAGTTTTCTTGGAAGGGATAAAATGTCTACAGTCAAATATCCCTACTATACAACTATTATAAATGTTTAATGTATGTTATTAAATTTATATTTATATACTTGACTGTTAAATAAATTCAAATATTTATTTATTAAAAAAATTTTTATATTTATTCAACATCAGAATTACCTTTTGATGAGTTATGAATTATAATATTATTTATGAGTTTTACTTGTATACCGTTTTCTGGTTTTTACAAGACGTCTCCGCATATATCCTTACTCTATTTTTGAGGATTCATAATCATCTCCACTCTATTATATATTGCGGCTGTGGACCAACTTGTGCCCTTGTGCCTTCTGTATCGCATTTGCCCTGGTCCTCACCTATTTACTAGACTCTTGGAACAGAAACATGAGAAAACCCATGTTAGTACAGTCGGAGCTGGGCTAAGTCTACAGTGATTGATAAGAAACTCTTCTTTATCGACCACTGGAGCATTAGGCCCCTCTCCTAGTGTGCAGAGATCTCTCTGCGCTATCTTATCTGCGCTAGCCAACGTCGACTAACCGGCCACCCATCCATTTACTAACCACGCTGAACGCTGCTTAGCTTGGGTGATCGCCCAAATTAGATGTGTGCCGCCTGGCTATCTCTGCCACTTATGAATTATAATATTATTACAGTAAAGATTTCAGTTACATGAAAATGATAAAATGATTCTGCGGACAATTATGAATTATTTTTAATGAATAATCACAACAATATAATTAAAAAGAGTTCAAGAGTAATTTTATTTTGAATAAATTTTTATTATTTATTGATACTAAAATTAACAAACATCTAATAATTTTTAAAATTATTACAGTAATTAAATTATTATAAAAAGGTTTACTGAAAAATTTCACATGTAGAAAATAAAAATAAAATTTTCAGTGCAGGATTTAAAAAATAGTTTTTTAATCACAATTGATTTGTTGAAATGCCAAAAATTGTCGGATCTCAAATAAGATATTGGAACTTTTTTAACTTCCCGCTAAGAAAAATTAAAAATTTTTTTAAATTCGGGAAGTTATTGGTTTTACCCCGTTTTGCAAAAATCGAGTTTTCATCAGATCTCGACGTTTTAAGGTCACAGAAAGCTTCCCTGACTATTCCCACGGTAGTGTCATCCGTGCGGCTGTGTGTGTGTGTGTGTGTGTAAACCTCTTATAACTTTTGAACAGGTCGACCGATCGGATCGAGATAGGTGGCGATCCAAAGAGTATCATTGTCATCATTGCCATTAATTTAAATTTCGTGAAAATTTGAATTGATTCGGTATTTATATTTTCTAAGATGAAACATCCTATACATTTATAAATATAAATATAATTAGGGGATTAATGATTGGCGTAATAATTAGTTACTTATGTTAAATTAAAGATAATATAATGAAGAATTATTTAATACAGAAAAAAGAAAATAAAATTTACTATACAGCTTATAGTAAGGAATGTTAAGCTGATGCTCAAAAATATTCCTCAGAATTTGTGAGTAATTGTTTGTTCTCCCTCTTTGTGGACTAAAACTAAGAAACAACATTATTTCATTAATTCTGTGTGAGCAAGTTAACTTCTTAAGTCAAGAAAAAATATATGTTAGTGAAAATTTACAATAAATTTGATAAAATTTCTTAATCAAAAAGTTGTTCATTCTTTTGTTTTTAATAGTGCTTTAAAAAAATGTCTGAATTTAAAATTAGTCCATCAACCTTATGGAGTACTCAAGACAATCCAAAAAAACCTCATACAATTTTTTTCATTACCTGTGACAATGATCATTTATATACTTATAACCTTCACCGTCCGGGAATTTGGTCATACAACATATCAGAAAAGTCGTGGAGTGAAGTAATAAGCTTGACTAATAATTTACTGCCATATCCAAAGAACAAAATAATTGGAATTATGGAAGAAGATCAGAACAATTCAAGAAAATTAAAGATATTCAGCATCCACAACAAGATAACTAGGATACATACTTATGATTTAGAAAGCCAAGTCATTGAAGAGCAAATTTTGGATGGATCTCTTCCAGACACTGCACAGTTTTGCCAAATGAATGTTTTTTGTTATAACAAATTTTATTATACAGTTGTGTGCGTTGAAACAACGAATCGCCCTGATCTGCTGAGAGTGGATGTTTATCGTTTGAATTTGGATACCTGGGAGCGTGTTTCCAAGCTAGTGAAAGCATCAAAATGTGATATAATTGAAAAATCATCAATGGGAATTATTAATAGCGGCAACAAGATGTATTTATTCTACAGTAAAAACATTAATTCTATTCGGGTTTTTGATTTGGAGAAGAATACTTGGAGCTGGGTGGGAACATCAGACCCCAATCTGGATCAAAATCTCAATGATTACAATGATGACGACGTAGAACTTGAAAAAGACTTAAATAAATTTCAACGAAATAAGAACACGAATGAAAATATTGTAAATGTAAAGATGGACCACCCGCCAATTGGGTCTTATAATTACAGCATGTCACAATATTGTAATCCGGATACCAAAGACACGTACTTAATAGTATCTGCGTCTAAATACAGGCATATTAATAATACACCTACGGAGATTTGGAAGTTTAATCTGTCAACTTTACAGTGGGGACTTATTGATAGAGTTGGAAGCTTTGTTAATCAACAACGCGTCAGTCGCTGGGCCTGCGTCACTCCAAACGGCAGATTAGTCACTCGCGATGGATTGATAGTTAAATATCCTCAAGTAAATATCTTCTTTTTATTTATTAAACTCTATAAAAAAATAATTGCAATTATAATGACTAATTTTATTTATTTTTTTTTAAGAATCCACTCGCTGTGATCCACCGAGAGTATATTTACACCACTTCGACCAGATTTGTTGATAATTGTTGAGAAGCTTTCGTAGACTCATACAAATTTATTAAGCCTAATCAAATTATGATACTGAAATCAGCTGACAGGTGACAATTTTTTTAATAAATAAATTATTTGTGAGTAAAATTTATTTTTTTATTAGTAATTTATCATTTAAAAAAATTTTTTTTGTCAGCTGATTTTAGTTTTATAATTAAATTTTGATACATGTTAAACTTTACAGAAAATAAATTTGTAAAACTATTTTTAAAATTACTGTCAAAAAATTTCATATGATAAAACTAAAATAATAATAATAAATAATTTTTGAGATTTAAAATATATGTACATATACAAATAATATATATTTCTTGTCAGTTTTAATTTCTTTTGACAATTTTTGTCGTTATCAAAAATTTTCATTTTTAACGCCCCCGCAACACTTCTTGCGGATGGAATTTGGTAAAATCCGTTCTGAGCTGACCTCTAATCGGCGAAAGAAATATTCCTATTACATTTCAAGTTTCTACCCCTTATGGTTTCAGAAATATTGTGATGATTCAATACATAGGTGGAAATCCCTATATATATATATATATATATACTCTACGGATGGGGCAAGTTTCAGGACCCGATCAGTGTATAAAAAATTTGTATGGTGGCGTTTTTCAGGACATTTGTGTATGTGTGGGGGCAGTTTTCAGGACCGTCCTGAAAGCCGTTTTTGGACTGTGGCAGTTTTCAGGACATTTGAATGTCTCGAAAACTACTTTATTTTTGGTAGCATATTTAAAACTACTAAGCAGTAATTTTTCAAAAAAAAAAAAAATTAAATACAGGTCTAAATTTATTAAAAAAAAAGGTTAGTACTGAATTTTAGATTTTTTTTATCTAAAAGTGTTGATTAGAGCACTAGTCAAAGTTTTATTTTAAAAATTTCATCGCGAAAAAAAATCGTATTCGATTTTTTAATTTGAAAAATTCGATTTCCTCGCTAAAATATCGATTGTTAAAATTTTCGATTGTCGGTTGTCGGCTAAGTTCACAGTCACTATATTCGGAGACTATTTTTCCTGTTTTAGAAATGTAAAATTTATTCGCATGATTGGCACACAAGATGCGTAATGAGTTAAGTGAGTTAAGTAACTAAAACTATCAGAAATTTATAATAATATAACAATTAAAAAAAAATTATGAGTGGTGATTTAAAAAAAAATTTTTCTTACATTAAATTAATTTGTTGTAAAAATTCGGAAAATTGTCAGATGTTTACAAAATTTAATATTATTTAAAAGATAATATTATTGATGATACTGAAGTTAGCTGTCAACTGTCACTTTTAAAAATTTATATAACAAACCAATTAAAATAAAAAAATGCTTCTAAAAAATTTTCACTTATAATTTTTATTAATTTTCACATGCGGAAGTTTTTTATTAAATTTTTTTTTATAACAATTTCATTGCTATAAAATTCTAAAAAACTTTCTAACATCTGTTACAACTTCAGTATATCATTAAGTTAATATTCTTACTATTACTATTTTAAGCGGCAGATGGCGGTACTGAGATGAAATGAGCTAAACATCACACTTGTGGTACAACTTACTGATTTAAACACATCTTAGACTTAGAGATTAAATGTTATTTTATGTTTATGTACGACTAAAATATAATATTTACATTATTGACATTGATCCACCACTAACTACATCTGTTTTCAATTTTAGAGGTAAGATAACATTACGATGGATTTAAATAGTGAAGAAAATAGTGAGACTGAACCGTGTTCAGAGCTACTGGATATGATTGTCGAGGATGCCAGTGATGGAGATTCAAGTGACGAGGATGATGGTGATAACCAAGAAGATTACGAAGCTGCTGACAATGAAGATAATGAAGTAAATGGAGAAAAATGTAAACTGAGTAAAAGTGTACCTAAAAATTCAAAGACTAAGTACGAATCGGCTTACTCGCAATTTTTAGAATGGCAGAAGGAGAAAAAATTCAAAACGTTCTCGGAAAAAGTAATGCTTGTTTATTTCTTCGAGTTGTCAAAAATAAAAAAATCCACGACTTTGTGGAATACTTACTCGATGTTGAAATGTACTTTGGGGTCTTTTCATAAAGTCAACATCGGGGAGTACAAGAGACTTATCCGGTTCTTGAAAAAGAAAGAGGTTGGCTTCCGGAAGAAAAAATCTAAGGAGTTTACCGCAGCTGAGATCACTGAATTTTTAAATACCTCTTCGGATAAAGAGTTTTTGGTTGAAAAAGTACGTATTAAATAAATTAAACAAATTAATATTATATTAAATATTTTTTAATTTGTAAATTGTAGGCCGTGCTGATTATTGGAGTTTGTGGCGCGACCAGGCGAGCAGAAATCTGTGGGTTAACTATTGACAATGTTATTGACACTGGTAGTAAGTTCGTTGTGACGATACAACACGTTGTAAAAAAAATTCCCGTTCGCAGATTTTCAATAGAAGACGACTTTTACACCCTTGTTAAAAAATATGTTTCTCTGAGACCGGTCCCGAAGTCACCAGGCCAAAAAATGAGCAATAGATTTTTTTTAAACTACCAGAAATCAAAGTGCACACGACAGGCTATTGGGATAAACAAAATTGGGGGAACTCCTAAACGAATTGCTCAGTTTTTAAAACTGTCTGACGCTAATGAATACACGGGTCATTGCTTCCGCAGGACTACGGAAAAACTTCTCAAGGACGTTAACGTAGACATGAGATCTCTTAGCAGATACGGCGAGTGGAAATCTTGTCACGTTAGCCTAGACGACATGAACAAAATTTTCAGCTGGATAACGTCGGAAATTAAATTAAAACTCCTTCCTGTTTCTCCGAAACCGGTGAAAAAATTTAGCAAGCCGAAACCAAAAGCTGTTGATCAACCAACGGCTGACCAGTCAAATACTGAAAAATCTGTCGTTGATGAGCCAATAAATAAATCTACTTCTATTATTGACAAACTGGTCGCTGATGAACCAATTATGGACGAACCGGTTGCTAATCAGCCAGTAAGTCACCCAATAGTTGATCAACCGGTCATAGAACAACCAATTGTTAATGAACCAATAATCGATCAACCTCCTATCGTAGAACCAATCACTGATCTATCTTCAATTGATGAACCAATGACTGATGATCCAATTATTATTCAATCAATCGAAGCATCTACTTCAAAAATCATTCCACAAAAAGTTCCTACGCAATTTTCAAAAATAAAAACAAAGGTATATTTTTTTTTTGTTAATTTTTTTATTATTTAATTTTTATATAAAATTTTTTGCTACAGAGAATTCACTATCATACATACAAGTACTCGGTCGTAGAAATCGATAGAAGAAGGCTTGAAATTGTAGCTCGAGGGTGGACTCCTTTGGAAGGAACCCAAACCGTTACAAGTCTCGGAGGATTTAGTAAGTAATACCTTACACTCTTCTTTCTCAAGAATCTAATGTGAATTTAGGTCACGCGTCTTCAACAAAGTCAGATAGTAATTAATATATATATGAATATATATTACTGATTCTTATGAGTTTTATGTACTCTCATTACACATTGTTTGTATTAATTAGTATAGAGGAAAAAAGTATCATATTTTATTTATTAATCTGAGTAATTATACTGAAGAAAGTTGACAGTAAAAACAATGCGACATTGTGACGTCACAATCGTGCGGTAAATTTTTATTTTAATTAATTTTCTTTATTCATTATTTTTCTTATGTTAATTATTGTTTATTATTTATTATATATTATATTATATATTCATTTTAAACACAAGGAACTAATTAATGCGTCGGTTTTACTCTAGATGATTATCAAAGCGCGGCTGATTGGGCGGAAATTCTTGACAGAAGAAAAACTCTTGGTATGTATTTTTTCTTTATTGTTATTATTATTTATTTAATTATAAATTAATTTTTTATAGATAAACAAAATTGGGAATTTCTGCAAAGGCATCTTGAAAACGCCGCGGTCGATATGGATGACATAGAAGAAGAGTTAGAAGTCAAGGAAGAAATGACTGAAAAAGAAGAAGAAGAAGAAGAAGAAGAAGAAGAAGAAGAAATGTGTCTTTAGTTTTAATTTTAAATAATTTTAATTTAAAAATTTTTTAAAACAAAAAGATTATTTATTAGCCTAATTTTAATTAAAGTGACAATAAAAACAGTAAAATAAATTAAAATAAAGCTGACAGCGAATGTTGTGAAGAAACCGAACAAAGTACTTAGATGCTTGTATGCCTTAGATATAAATTAAATGGAGGGTGGAAAAGTGCGATGAACCGCGCCTCCTCGAGGGTGCGGCCCCAGGCGTACAGAAACCCAGGTGTGGCTGACAATTTATAGAATCACTCCAAGTCATGCCCTCCATCAAGGAAACGCGAAACTCGCAACCCCATACAGCTAGTAATCCTCAATCTTTCACGCAAACAACTCGTAAAAATTAATAACTCGGACCATTAACGCTAATAGAAGTCAAACATCAATACTTATTATTAAATATTATTTTATATTAACTAAAAGGCGACTTAGGTTGAAGATATTTATATATCTTTGTCTTCACACATTAATATATCAATATTTTCAGGTACAAAGGTTTTATTTTTCGCATTCTAATCTAATCTTTTATTTATCATGACGCAATAGAGATAAAGAGAGAGGAAATTTTTACCGTATCCCTTATTTGTATATTTATATGTTATATTATATTATATTACATTGTATATGAGCGTTATGTTCGAATTGAATAGAAAGATTATAATTCTTATTAAATCGTAAGTTTAATACTTACGATTCACGATACGTAATCATAAATAATAATAATAATAATAATAATAATAACAATAACTAACGTTATAAAAAATTTATTATTATTATCAAAAAATCAATTAGTGTTAATAATTAAATTTTGATCAATAAAATTAATGTGTTAAAATAATAATAATTTTTTTTTTTAATTTATTATTATTATTATTATTATTATAGTAATATTACTATGTAGGTATTAGTATCGATCCACTCGAGTGAACAAGAATGTATCACCTTACAAGATGACATACCATATTATATTTATATCATATTAATCTGTATTAATTTTTTTTCTAAACAGGACCACAAGTTGAGTATTAACGTAAATGAAAACAAGTGTCCGGGGCATTAACATGCGTAACAAGCGGCCTTGTGTTGGTCTGTGTCTGCACAGGTGGATGTGGGCGATCGGTACGGACGTAAGTAAGTAAGTACATATAATATTATTATATATGTCTATACAATATTTATTATACGCACGTATGTGGGCATAATATGGTGTATATTTGGTAATGCGTATACAGGTACATACGAAGGACTTTGGCATCCGTGAAAGTTGTACGTCGCCGTGGTGCTCTCTCTACAAAGTGTGTAGTGTTGTTGCTGTTGGTGTTACTTGTAGCCTGTGGGAAAGTAACGCAACACCATGGGACCTACAGCCGGTTCGCTGGTTATACTTTATACTGGACCGCGATATTCCGAGATCCCAGCCGACAAACCATTTCCAAAACTCCCACGAGCAGCCCATCATCACTCTAATATACACTACAAATACTCTGTAAGTTATCATGATTTCAAAACCTCAATTCATTTACCGTATCTCCTTTATCATTTGATACTCTAATTTTTTTATTTTATTTTTTTCAAGGGTTTTACACGCACTTGGAAGGTCGAAGAAAGACCTACTTTTTATTTTAAAAAGACTTTTTAATTTATCAATATGAAAAAAAATATACCAGGTACTTTAAAGTTTATTTAAAAAAATAATTTATTTAAATTATAAAATATTCTTATAAGAAGAAATGAAGAATGGGTTGGGTATATTTCTTCAGAGCTCTAAATAAATTAAATATTTTTTTTCTAGTCAAAAAAATGTAAAAATACACAAATCCTTTGATAAAATAACACAAGTGGTTCATTGTTCATAACCGAGATAAAATAATCCTCGATATAAGAATGTACTGTAGCAAATATATGAAATTCAAAGGCGTCGATTCTTCATCTGAACCGGAGATGTTAGCCGACAACCAAGTTGTGCGCCACAGAGCCATGCCAGGTCTGCTTGGCATATCATCTAGATGACTGAGAACTGAGGAAATAAAAGGAAACTAATGTAAGTAGAAGTAGAAACGCATTGGTAGCACTAAAAGCAACCCGAACTGTAAATAATATCCATTAGTAGGGTGCAATGGACACTATTATATTTATCCATGAGCCCTATACTTCCAAAAAAAATAATAAGTATCTCTTTTTTTTTTTTTACACAGGCCAACAATCACCACAAAGTGCATTGGATCCCGGCTGAAGCAACAAAAGCGAAGCCCATTTCATGAGAAAGAGATCGGGGATTGTGATTTGTATTTGTATTCATCGACGTCACAATAAAAAAGAGTGACACGGAACAAGGACGCCCCCGCGATTGACAATCCTGGATATGGCCATGGAAAAAATACACCATGCCCTGTAATGTTCCTATGGTGAATATGGACACTTTACCATACACCGTAGACTAGTACGCGGTCGCGCATAACACCGTTCCCCGTTCCCTCTTCCTCGTTGTCCCGACACCGGACGTGGGCTGGTCCCTGAGTATGACAGAGAGCCCCAACACCAGAGAAGAAAAGATAAAATAAAAACGGAGAGGGGAGAGCCACACGAGTTAAATAAAAGTATGATTTTCTTCAGTCTTGCTTGCGCTGGTCTGCCAGTCGCTTCGTATGTCGTATCGCTTTTAATTCTTTTCACTATTATAATATATTAATTTATTTTTTAGTTACTCCAGTCCAGTGTCATTTCACTTATATGCCAAGTTAAAATTCATTTTAATAAATTTAACAAAATAAAGCAATTATTTTGATAGTGTACAGTAAAGTGGAACTGACTAACAATTAAAACTCCAAAAAGTTTATTACTAATCCACGGTTTATTTATCGATGACTGTACTTGGATGCAGTGGTGACTCCGAGTGTGACTCGTTTTATTATCATTTTGTTTCGAAAGATCCTGAATTACGCATAAGTGAATAATAATTTTTAAAAGAAACGTTTCAAACTGCACACGGATTTAAGGTGCATTTATTGAGAGTCTGAGGCAAGGTGAGTAGAGGTGTGGTTTTTTACTCATTTAATCGACACACGTGCGTCTACTTTTCTTCTTTTTATTAATTTTTATTCAAATAGCTCATTTGCATGCGTCTGGTTGAGTTGTTTATTCTATTGTTATTTTTAGTATAATTATACGGATTATTGTACCAAAGTATTAACCATAAATTTTTTATTTAGAGAAATTTAAATTATAATAACTAAAAAATTAAAAGTTATTTTTTTATAATAACTTTTATGTATGTATTTATTTTTATTGATAATTTTAATTGCACTGAGAAGCTTTGTGGCAGTTTATTTTAAACGCGAAGATATGATAATTATTTGCATGGCGTCAAACTACGTCGGAGTATTTATATTTATATTTATATTTATATTGTAGTAATATAATACAATATAAAAAAGTATTCGATAAGAGCTATCATATTATATTTTTGTGGATGCAGGACTTGAGTTCTGAGGAAGGAAGATAAGAGGGATGCTGAAACACGTGTCGATATCGCCGTGGAGAGGAAGATCAGACAGCGTCAGCCTGGCCTCCAGCAATGGAGATACCAGTAGCTGCGGAAGCGGAAGTCCAACCCCTAGTCATACTCCACCACCCTCACGTGCGTCTTCTTGCGCGTCTCTCGTTCCACTTACTGCGCTATCTAGCTTTTCACCTGCTGATACTGCGCCACAACAAGTAAGTCCGCTACTGTCCTTAATTATTTATTTAATGTCTTCTATGATAGTGATTTAAGTCGACAGGTCAATAACTTACGATCCAAGTATATAAATAATTAATGGATTACGAGATTTGTTACGAAATTATTTAAACAAACAGTTTATTGTAATTTATAAATTATTTTTTACTGACCTTTCAATTGAGTCCCATGGGCGTAATGTTTTACGCCAATTCAACGTTTTTTGTCGCCCACATTTGCCGTGGGAAGACCAACTGTTGATCTTGTTGTGGATATACATACACATATATATATATATATATTTAATACAGACAGTGTATCGCCAGATCTGTAAAAAAATTTAATGAACCCAGAACAGACTACATCGCGTTGGTGGTTTTCGTTAACTTGTAGCTTTTAAACATATGTGCTTCATAATGTTATCATTTCTTCATTTTTATTATCATAAAATTACAGAATCACTTTTACATATTTTTTTATTATTTAATAACAATTAAATTTTAATTGTACTAGTGATTTTTTATTTTTTAATTAAGTTTTATCTGTATCTACAATTTCAAAAAAAATTTCACGGCTTAAATAGAAAAATTGATTTTATACGGTAGGAAGAAAACTTGGAAAGTTATAAATCTATTTTAAAATTTATCTAGTTGAATTTATATTTAAATTTGAATCAGTTTATAATACTAAATGTTTATTTAAATTATTAGTAATTAATATTATAGATAGTAACATAAAGGAAAAGAGCCATGAATTGAAAACATTATATAACACAAATAACATATTCATTTATAATTTTCACTCATTATATATTTTCATTGAATAATTACTTAGTTTAATAAACTAATTACATTGATAAAGATGTTGTGTATAAACGTGATAATTATAAAGATAAATAATTATTGTGAGTTAGCAATTATTTTTTTTAAATCAAAAATTACTCACATGTTATCACTATTTATGATAATTTTATTTTTTTTTTTCCAATTATTTATTATTATAATTTTTGATAAACTTTTTTCGACATCATCAGACACAAAAAATATTAAATTTTAAATCATAAAATTATAATAACGAGGAATGTGAATATAAATTGAGCGATATTACGATACAGACTAATTACGAAATATTTAATTGAGGAAATATAATGTTATTTACGGTACGTGGAATTACCGATTAAAATATATAAGTGTTATTAAAAAATCGACGACAAATATACCGTAAAAAATTCATGTACAGCAAGATTACCTACTGGACTGGAGAACGTCCTTCGAAGAACGCCAACTAAGAAGAAGAAGAATAAAAGTGGGGTGAAGATGTATGATAATAAAATTACTTGATAGTACGTAGGAATATAAAAAATGAGTAAAGTGCTGATGACGAAGAGGAAAAGGAAATAAACAAAGAGAAACTGGATCCTGGTACTCGAATCAAGTGATGTCTGAATTGGACGTTTAACATTGGCGCCCGCACGCGCGTCAACCATCAGTACATCAACCAGTGTACTAACCAACTCTGGTAGACCATCCACCATCAGGTTGTGTGCAACAACCAGCAACCAGCAGCGGTAGCCAGGATGTGAGGCCTCAAGAGTATAGTTAATAGATACAGATAGGCCTCCAACAGCTGGGAACGATCAAACTACTTCACTACCTATAGTATATAGTAGCATTGCAGTATTATGTAGCAATACTAATACTCTGCATACCATGTTATGTTACTAAAGACTCGAGTTGGAGTGGAGTGGAGTACGGGCAGTCCATCACCAGAAAGAGACAGAGCTTCTGATGTGATCGGAGGAGTAGAATTGTAGGGAAGAGATAGAGGATAGTCAATCCATGCACCGGAAGTTAAAAGTGGACGGCTGAGCAGCCCACGGAAGTCCCTTGCCTGGTAATTGCATGAGGAAGCGACGTGACAAGAAAATTTCTTTGTTTATAAATGTCAATATTTTTTTAGATTCTTTATCTATTCTTATACCGACACGTACTATTATTGTTTACATGTTGTTATTTTACCTAATGGGCTTGTCTTTTACGCTTCAATTACGTTGGGATTTTTTTAAATTATTTTTTTAGCTATTATATTGGGTATTTAAGTATTGAAGCCAAGAATTTTATTGTGAAATTTTTGAGATTGAAATTCTGAATGAAATATTGAAAATACAAAAAAAAGTTTGAAATGTTTTTTATAGAAGATTTAATTTACTACAAAATAGATTTCTTATGATTTTTTTGTATTTTTTATATTTTAGGCAGAATTTTAATTTTTAATGGTGATAATTTGAAATTTATTGATCAATTTGAGCTCAAATTATTATCATAACAGCACAGGTCTTTAAAATGCCATAAAAAAACACCATTACGTAAAAATTGCAATGAATAATAATCAATTGCAATGGAATTGTAGGTCAATTTACAAAGATATTTATGAAAAAAGTGTATTTAAATGGTTCTTTTCCGCTAACGCGTTGAATTAAGCGGAAACCGATAGATAACTTTCCAAGTGCATAACTTTATTATTTTTCGATTAGTCTAGCATTAGATTTGATTACAACTCTATTGACTCATCACTCAAAACCTCGTTTAATTTAATGGCTCTACTCATCACTGTCCATCAACTTAGCTCAGTAGTTAAACACAATAATTACCGATTAGATATTAGATATTACATGTGAACTTTAAGAAAAATCCCGGCAACCTAAAAAAATGCGTTGGAATTTAGTTTCATACAGTGTAATAAATCAAATTATGAACAATGCGCACTTAATTGGTTTCTCTTCCCGTGTATGTAATCTACTCATGCAGAAGACCCTAAATTACATTCCAAGGAGCTACTATTTTACAAGTTAAGCTCTGAGTTTAATACCTGCAATAAGATTTACAGCTTCTTTAAAAACACTTTCACTTAAAGCTTATATTTATACATTATACATCAGTTGAACCGTATTAAAAATTTTTCTTGATTTAAATTTGTAATTTTTTTTTTTTTTTTTTTCAATAGTAAAATATTCAATATTTAAATCAGTTTTTTGCGCTAATTTGTTCCGACTTAAAAAAAAAAATACAATATGACATCTGATAATTTTCAGAATTTTTTTTAACAAATTAAAAAAAAAGTAAATTATTTAACAAAAAAAAATTATAGAAATTTTCAGGTGTCCGATAATTTTTAAATATAACACACATACCTGTTTAATATAAAAATATAAAATACCAAGAATCCTTGCAACTGTTATATTTAAACCTTAAACAAAGGTTTCTTTTTAAAAATATCCTGATTCTTAATTTTGAGCACGTGCCTCTGTCCTCCATCGTCACCGATGAAAAATATGAAATATAAAACCCAAGAAGACCTTTTTACCTATCCAAGCCCTAAAAAATAAAAGAAAGTAAAAGTAGATGTACTTGTTAAAAAAAGGCCAGCATAATAAAATTTAAAAATGAAGAGGTTGGTGGATGAGAGGATATGACAGCTGGTGATCAAAGAGTTTTGCCTTTTGCCGATCTCAGTTAGTTAAAACTTTAAATAAAATAATAACATAAACAGTATACTGTTATTACGGTTGATACCATAGATTATATTGTACGTGGACGGTACATGGGCGTAAGACAAATAATTGTTAATTGTTATGAGGACTTGGTCCCTAGGGACAAGTATAAATATTACACGCTGTTACTCTAGATCATTTAAAACAGACGGATATGGGCTTAGCTGATATTAATTGGTTCTTCCTCCATCCACTCACATCAATCCATTTTCAGCTTGGACTTTTAAATGCTGGATATATATTTATGAATTGCTATGTAACATAAGCGTATCATATATATATAATACGATGTACTTCTGTTGATTGTTTTAAACGAGAGAATAACTGATGGCGCGACATCGTGGCACGTTATTATATATATATATATATATATATATATATATATATATATATATATTTATATATGAGGATGTTTAGCGCACGCTTACGTACGTATGAATGAGCATCCGGTAAAGTTCTTGATGGGCTTTGTTAGCACACGACACACCATACGGGCCCTTAAAATATTTTTTTTTTTCCGGTCCTTTTTTTTTTTTTTGGGAGGAAATCTGCCTTACATCTGCCGACTCTGATGATTGTTTTACTCTGAAAAAACGGTAGGGGAGGAAAAGGTTAAAAAATACAAAAAGGATCAGGGTGAGGATCACCGCGGTCAGTTGGAAAATTTTAATTTGAATTTTAAAATTAAGATGACGACGTCATTTAACCTACAGTTGATCTCACTTGACCAAGTGTCAATAAGTCGGTATTAAAGTCCTACCAAGATTGCCCTTGAATCGGTACGGGAATTAATGCTGGAAATAAAAATAAGAGTTTATTTAATGAGTAAATAATTTTATGGAGGTATTTCAGGTAATTTTATTTTTAAAAAGAAGAAATATGAAAAAAAATTTTTAGTTTATAAAAAAAATTAAAATTTAATAATTTTTATGAAGAAATAAGTGACTTAATTAATTAAAAAAAAAAGTAAATTAAAAATAAAAAAAGGTAATAATTATCTAATAATTATCGAAAAGAATTCTATTAAAATAAGGAAATAACTTTCTACATAACTTACTAAAATAAAACATCATGTTACCCAGTCAAGTGTAACAGGAATGAAATTGTTGAAATGAGAACCTTTATATTGCGTGATTGGATGCTGTGGGTTTTTTTTTTTTTTTTGGTATCTTTTTTCAACAAATTTTTTCACTTTACCTTCAGCAATTTATCTTCCTCCGTGGACTGACGAGTAAAAGACTCAACTCGGTTTACTTGTGAAGATGTAAAGCCTTTTGATGAAACCGAGAAACCATCGACCACTATTTTCGTTGTTGTTACAGACACCACTATTATTATTACTTACGAGGTTGTTATTAAATTAGATAATGAAAACCACATAGTATGTCTGCACCCATTGTGATGGAGCCTGCAAGTAAAGTAGCATGAAAAGTTCTGTTAAGAATCAACATTTTTCAGCATTCCATTCAAATATCAAGTATATAAATTTTAAAATAAATAACAATATTAAAAATATTTGTATTCACATTTTATTTTTCATTGTTGTGATCTGATAAGGATAATAATGGTGAAGTTTTCAGGGTATGTCATTGACCGCGTTGCAAAAATGCCAGTGTAATGCATCTGCTCCTGCGGGTTTTTCACGCAATTGCTTCACGATACACACTCGCAGGAAACCTTGAAACCAGATGGCTCTTTCGCAATATAAATTTTACTAACAGTCTCTTTGAGTTTAAGAAAGATCCGTTGCTAAAAAAATTTTCTTAAGTTCAGTCTTATATATATATATAAATATATGTAATATGTGAAGAGAGATAATTAAGAAGGGGGATATCCTCAAGGCTTTTAAAACTCTCATGTGTTGTCTTTTAATGTCACAAGGGCTTCATTTATGTTTTTTTAATAATTAAATAAATGTATTTTATTAAAAAAAAATTTTTTTTTATAGAAAGTTAAAAAATAATTAGAACAATTTTTAACAAAAAATTTATAGAATTAATTTTCCCCAAGTACTTTCTATTGAAATTATTTGATGAAAGTCTGGACGAAAAATTGAGGCTACTGTTTGAGATGCGAAGTAAAAAAAAATTTTTTTTTTCTAACTTCCATCACAAATAATTTAACTGTACTCTAATTAAGAATTGAAACTAATAAAAAATTGAAAAAAAAAAAAAAAAATTTTTAATTCAAAGTTTAGAAAAAAAAAAAAGTAAAGGAATTAAAATAGTAATTTAAATAATGAAGAAATGTTTAATTAAAATAATAGTAATAAAATCCGGGAAGTGTAATAAATAAAATAACGACATTATGTAAACCGGGTCGTGTGACAATCTCTTGATTGACGATTCACGAAAAAGTTTCCCGCGAAAGAAAATAAAACGCGTTTGTTCGCACGAGCAATTTTAGAGAAAGAATTGAGAGTTTGCGCCAAAGTTTCTTTTTCCCTTTTCATTAATTATCTACTTCCAGAGAATAAAATAAAAAAATTTAGTCGCGACTTTATTCCGTGCGAAATATTTTGCGGTGAGCCGAGAGCCTCCATTATTTTATATTACTTTAGTATCATATTATTGTACTTGTACTTATCCATTGAATAAAAAGAGAGGGAGAGAGAGAGAGAGAGAGCGGTAAAAAACGTAAATTTCCTAGTTTAGAATTTAGTTTGCTAAAAATCTCCCAGGCTCTCTCGTAATTTACCTAAACACCTTCAAGTTATATACTTGTCTCATTGTTCCTCTTGAACACTCGCTCACATTGTCATTATTACATCCCCATAAAGACAATACAAAGCAAACGTGAAAGCGAGCATCTTATTTTATCAACTAATTGTCTTCTTGCTCCTAAAATTTATTTCTTCTTATAAATAAAAAAATTAGATCTGAAAGTGATTATTTTTATTGTATTATATTAGTTTATTTCGTTGTAATTAAATACCTGGAGTCACATTCCGCTTACTTTTAATGACGCTTGTATGTCACCAATGTTATCATTATAATTATCAGTTATCAGATACTTTATTATCTTGACAATTGTCCTGCACAATTTGCTGTTTTATTTCTTCTTTTTTCTTCTGCTGCTCCGGCTTTAATGACAGTGTCGATCAAATTAAAGCATCAGCTTGCTATTATCTAATTAAATTAACTATTTTAATATGTGGTTTAAACTTATGTAAGTATACATATATAAAAATATTATTTACTTACTCAGTTACATTTACATTTTATATTGTGGAAAACGTTGAGAACTCACCATTCACACAAACTAATTTAGTTTTTTTTTTTTAGGCCAGTTTGCGCAGCCTAATAATGTCGCAAGTTGTCGTGCATCGAGTACAATTTTTACTGTCGCATATCGCATATTGTACATACTTATGTTTTCATATAAAAATATGTAACACGCAATCTAAAATTTAAATAAAAAGTGCACACAAAAACAATTTGGAATGACAAGTAATGGGCTTGTTAACTTATTTAGCTCAAATTTCAATATTTGTCAATCCGGAAGACATTATTAATGCACTTACTATGTTTCGCAATGAAATAATTGTTATGAAAAAAAACATCATGGATGTATATATTGTGGGTTTTTCAATTGTTTTAATCCCACATCCGCGTTTCAATTGATTTTAAGACTGTAATCTAACGGTTTACCTTCTTTTCATATATTTCATAACTCTTGGCATCATAACTCGGGGATCAAGTACCGAGAAATTCATTGTTGTTATTTATTAATCATTGTTTTTAATTAATAATTATAATGATATGAATTTTATGGGTTTTGAGTTGCTTCTACACAATGAGATTTAAAAGGATTTTTATACGTAAACTCTCAATTAAGTTTTCTTCTTTGTAAATTGAATTAATAACTAGCAACCTTACAGTCACTATGTGACTGCCATGACTTGTGAACTATAAATAAATAAAATTTTGTTTTATTAAATAATGACTTTTGTTAAATTGCACTGTACTTTCTTAAATATTGACGTTTTTAAAGATATAAGCTTATCCCGATGTTACACTCATCAAGAGCTTTCATTTGAGTACCCACATGCATTTTGATATATTTTTCATATATAATATATATAAATATATGAAAAATTGATGTGGGTACTCAAATGAAAGGCCTCGATAAGTGCAATGTCGGGGTGAGCTTATATCTTTAATAAATGTCAATAATTCACAAGATACAATGTCATTTCTTAATTATGTATCCAGAGATAGAGTATTTTCGAATGCAACCTAAATACTTATCATAATAAATTGACTAGTCAAAATCTTTACTATGTCATTAAATTTTTCTAAAAAAGACCGATTTTATCATATGACTATCCTGGATACAAATTTTTTTTTACTCTCTTTATAATATAGATTATGGAGAAAAAAAAAAAATTTTTTTTTATTATTTAAATTTTTACTAAATATAATCAATTTTCTAAATTTAGTATTATGATCTTGTGAAGAAAGAGTTTGAAACTTGGTTACTTATTTGAGAGTTGAACTTACAATGAATAGTTCGGAATTTTCAACCGGAGATTTAGGATTTATTATAATCTAAGATTAACGTGTACTAAAGCCCGGGAAAAATTCAAGCTTTTGTCCTCAGCTGCAAGATGAGGTTTTCCACAATTCATTCTTCCGCATTTATAACTCATGTAAATAACAGCTGAAAAATATATATTTCTTTATTATATAATCCGGGATAATATTAAATCTTGAATTGAAAAACTGGTCTTGAAGTAAATTTTTATTATTAATAATAATTTAAATTTATTGCTATCTTATGAAATATATTTAATAAGCATAAGTGTATATATATATTATTTAATTTGACCACTGGACAGGAAATTCAATTTCCTACTATTCTGATAGTCTCATTATAAATTTTCATAACTTCTCCTCCAAATTCTCAGATAAAAATAATTTTAAAAATAAAATTTTTATCGCTAGAAAAAGAGGATAAAAATTCTGGATATTATTTTTATAAATTCTCTAATTACCTCAAAAATAACATTTACATTTTTAAACCAGTCAATAATTTACCTCATGGGATTGAAAATTAGACAGAAAGTTTTTATAAATAGTCAACGTTTAATTCCTAAAAAATCCACTTTCAGCAATTACTTAAAAGCATCACAAATTTTAAAATAGCTTAGAAAAAAATTTATAGAAAAAACAGAGACAAAAAACTAAATATAAAATATTTATAAATAGAAAAAAAAAAAAAACAGAAGCCGTAAAGGTTGTTTTTGAAAAGTTCCTAACCCATGGCTGAAGATAAACCAAACTGGTGTTCTTGGTTAGCCTAATGGCGATATATGCCAGATTAAGATTTTTAAAAACCAATAACAGAAGGTCGGATGCAGATGAATATTTACGTCAACTCTTATGACGCAGGGTCGAAGTAAAAAGGCGTCGTATGGTAGGATAAAAATGAGAAGCTGATATCCGTCACACGTGCTATATGCTCTGGTGCTCTTAAGCACGTGCTCTCTTGTATTATTATAACATCGCTCCCTATCCCTATTTATTCATTTATATTTTGTTATCCACATCAACGCCATACGTGTTCTGCTCCTTGTTCTTGTACGCTCTGAAATAATAATATAAGTAACAAGTAAACATCCAGCTAGATAACTACTTACTAAATACGGAGCTAAACTCCAAACTCCTGTCTAATGTATAATATTAAAGTTAGCAGTCTTTAATTTTATTTAACAAATAAATTAATTTTAAAAACAAAATTCATTTTTAATTTCTTAAAATTTCTACATGTAAATTTTTTTTGCCGTAATTTATTTATCAAAAAAATTATCAAATATCTGATGAATTAATTTTCATGTCTAATACCACCATACCCTCAATAATCTCCTCCTTTCTATTTCCTCTTTACTCCCTTTATGTTTACGCTTAAATAAAACAAAACACTTCCACAAACACATCACTCGTTTCCGCTTTTATTTATATCCCTATATATTTCAAATCTTTATGGCTTTTATACTTACTGCATTTAATAATTTCCTTTTCCGAAACCCATATTCGTATCAATTGACATTAATTGTTATTTATTGTTAACATTTCTTCGCGGCGCCCTCTACTATTTTTAATCCAATAGTCTTCAAAAGAAGTTACTCCGTGACAGTTTTATTAACAAGCTTAAAAAAATTTATGCACTCACTGAAGAAAAGAAAAAATGTTGTTAACGTTATTTTACTACTTTATATATTAAAAAAAAAAATACTCACAGTTTTTATCACCCAGTAATTTAATGTTCTTTAGAAAATAAATTTCGAAGTGAGAATAAGAACTCAAAATGGCGGATTCGCAGTTGGAGTAGTTCCGAATTTCTCCTCTAGGTTTTGTAATAACTTTGGTTCTCAAGTCAGTAATAAAAATGCTTTTAAAAATTTTCACATGTGAAATTTTTTTATTAAATCAACAATTTATAATCAGTATTGTTTCTACAGAAAATTTTTAGCTTCTTTAAATTTAACTAAACAAAAGACCTTGAATGACAATATGTATTTAATATTTATTAGTGTGAAGAAATCTTATAATTTTATTATTTTCTTGTTGCAGACGACGATAAAAGTGTACGCGAACTGCCTGAGACCAGATATCGAATACAAAACGCTGTCAATAACGTACGAGACGACGTGCCATCAAGTCGTGCAAAATTTATTAAACAAATATCGAATGAGACATCGGGACCCGAGATTATTTTATATGACCATGGAAGTCACTGTCAGGCGAGCTAATGTCAGGACTATTTTACCGTTAGATGAAGATGCTAGACCCGCTGTACTACAATCTTGCCATCCACGTGGTGATTCTAGGTACGTAATTGCTCATTAAAATTATTATTCTTAAAATATCTATAATTTTATTTTTTAAATTAAATAATTTAGATATAAATATGTGTTATATTGAAATTCTGGGTTATGAATTCTTTTATAATTGTGACAGGCGTAATTATTTGAATTATGAAAAAAAATGTGTCATTGTGTTGGAAAAAAAAAAAAAAGTTTTATTTTCTCACAAACTAGAATAACATTGTCAAGGAAAAAATAATTATACTAATTACGAAAAATATTTTGTCTTTTTTTCCATAATTAAGGCTAACAAAAAAATTTAATTTAATTAATTGACATAATTAGTGCGTTACTACCATAGTTTGTTTTTAAAAATTTTTTTCTTTATTAAATTATTTTATTTTTATAAAATATATTAAGTAAATAAATAATATTTTTTTTTATTTATAGATTTTCATTACAAACACGACGTGGAGGATTAGTTAAAATTTATGACAGCGCACTAATGTCCGGGGTAAGTAATGAATTGAGCAAAAATAAAAATATTATCTATATTATTAAGAGAATAAGAAATATTTTGTGTCCAGGATAGTCATTTGATAAAATCGGTTTTTTAAGTGAAATTTAGTGTCATCGCAAAGGTCTTGACTTGAATTTGTCCCTTTTCAAATTTTCATATCATTCTCACCGGTAGTCAATTAATGATGATAAATTTTTAGGCTGCATTTGAAAATGTTCTTGACCTTGTATCTTGTGAATTATTGACATTTTCAAAGATAAAAGCTCATTCCGACATTACACTCATCGAGACCTTTCATTTGAGTACCCACATCAATTTTTCATATATTTATATATATTATACATATATGTATATATGAAAAATATATCAAAATGCATGTGGGTACTCAAATGAAAGCTCTTGATGAGTGTAACATTGAGGTGAGCTTATATCTTCAAAAACGTCAATACTTAAGAGAGTACAGTGCAATTTAACAAAAGTCATTATTTGATAAAGCAAAATTTTAATTTTTTTTAGTTCACAAATCACAGCAGTCACATAGTGACTGCAAAGTTGCTAATTGTTATTATTGTTAATTTTATAGTTAAATAACAATAATAATAGTAATAATCCACAACTAAATTTTGATGATTATTATTATTAAAAATTTTATAATTAATTCAATAAATAAATTAATTTAACGATCAAAATTTTGAAATCCAAAAATTTTGACATTAATGATTTTTTAATGATAAAAAAATAATGAATCTAACTATATTTTTAGTCAAAATACAAGAGCCTATTAATATCAGAGCGGACAACAGTAGACGAGTTGATTCAAATGCTGCTGAACTGCTATAATTCAGCGGAGCGAGTTGAGCAATTCTCTTTGTACGAAGTCTGCGAAGGTGAAGAATACCAGCGTAAATTACACCCCGATGATTCGCCACTTAAAGTAACGCAGAAGTGGACGAGTATCGACAGACACCTTCGCATACGCAGGAATCCAGACTACGACCCACATAGGAGAAAGGTAAACAACTCATAAAATAATCACAACAACAATGATAATGATTAATGACAATAGTAACTAAATATTTAGTTATTTATTTATGCAGTCGTTTTATTGTCTAGCAACTCATAAATTAACTAGACAACTACTTTAACTCTTGGACATTTAAATTGGAGATTTAAGCGTGACTCATCATTATCAATTGTATCGAATTAATATTAATATTAACTACTTACACTTATTAATATTTTTTTTTTTATAACAGAGTATGTGGGCTTCTGATTCAACAATAAGTGCAGCGTTATCACGTCTTCATCTTCAAAATAAAATTCATTTATCCCAGCAAAATTTGTCTTCTGAAAAATCAAAGACTCACGATCATTTAAATGATAGTAATAATAATAATAACAATAGTAATAATAGTAATAGTAATAATAGCAGTAATTCAAACACAAATTTATCAACATCATCTCACTGCCTGTTATTGCGTCAGCGCGGAAAATGCAAAGTAAATAATAATAATAGGCATAATCATAATCATAATTACCCAAATAATGGAATTGTCAGTATCAGTAAAAGTAACAGTTCTACAAGTGCGAGCCAGGAATGTGGAAGAAACCAACTGACTCGCAGCACTAAAATGTCTAATTTATTGCCGCAGAGTTTGCCATCCACTCCGCTGACTTCTAAACACCTCACGGCCTCGCACTTTTCAAATTACGAAAATTTTTTTTACATTTAATTTATAAAATACCTGTCAAGTATTTATTTTATTGTTAAGAAAATTTTTTATTATTTTTAATTGATCTAATTATTTTTTTCAATTTAATTGACAATTACACGCTTTGATAAAAGTTTGGCGTAAAAAAAATTCCGGTTAATTTTTTTATATTGTTATTTGCACAGAAATTTTTAATTATATTTATATATGTATATTTTAAATATTCGGCTAGATAATATAATTTTAATATTAAAATTAAATTATAAAACCGATACAAAGAAAAAAACTATGTCGTTAGTTGATAAGCTTTTTCTTTTTTTTTTTTTTTTTAAAAAACAATATTGTACCAAAGGTAGTTTTTTATGGCATCTATATTTTATAGTGTATTTAAAAATATACAAAGTATATTACTGCGTTTTTTTAGAGAGCTGTACTTGCTTATTGTAAAACATTTGTATATAACTTAAAAAAAATTACGATTTTATTTATTATCTAAATTTATAAAATAAAAATTTTTTTAAATTTATATAAATACATTCGGTAATTATTTACAAGTAAGGTCAATCCCATTTCAGGCCATAACTATTTATCATAACAAATGTTGTGAAAGAAAAAAATAATGATTTCGATAGCTTTTTTGCCTTCAAAAGTTGGAAAAAATTTTGGCTCATGTTTTTGGATAAAATTTCTACTTTATCGTTTTTTGATATTTTTAATATATTTTTTTTTAAAGTAAATAAAAAAAAATGTTAAATATCACAATTTTCTAAAAAACTTATCAATTTTTTTGAAAATTTGTTAAAATTGTGATTATGAAATTTTTTTTTTTAATTGTTCATTTTTTTATGTATTTAAAAAAAAAAATATATCAATGAAATCAAATAAAAATTGGGTTAAAAAAAATGAAAATGGTTGATCCCACTTGTAAATATTTACCATATATTCTTCTTTATAATTTTAAAAGATTCATCTAAATAAATGAAAGTTCTGAGGAAATAATTGAAAAATAATTATTTTTTTTAAATTTATTTATTAATTTTTTTGTTGTTGGGAAATGATTTTTAACAGGAACTAGTCCTATTAAAATGCGTGGTAATTTTTTAGGAAGATTTGAGAAATACTTTTTGCAACATTGTTATCTTTCATTCGTTATTTCTTCTTACAAGTTTCAAAGACATCACAGCATTGACATAACGACAAATAAATAAAACTAATGTTGACAATTAAATAAATTTATTAAATATTTAGTTGTTTCTTTTTTTAAATTTTTATCTTCATTATAATAAATTCATTAATTAACTCTGAAATCGAGTGTAAAAATTCATTACTCATTAGCTTAATTATTAATTAATTTTTTTAGTATCAAACTAGTTTGCAAATGAGTGAATAGAAAAATTTTAAGTGCAATCACTTACGTTATTTATTTATTTATTTTTTTTTTTTTTCATTTATGTTTTTTTAATGATATATTTGATCTGCGACCAAGTATTTGTTTAATAAATATTTTATTTCCTTTTCATTTTCAATTAATATTTAAATTTCATTTAATAGGAACAAAAACCAGAATTTAAAACACTTTAAGTTTCAATGCTTTTGTTTAAATAGTTTTTTTAATCGTTAAATACTTGATTAGTTACTTTATCTTCAATTACATTATTTACAACAGCGATTATAACTTTGATGCTAAAATTGCAACAAATTTCATTACTTGATCTTTATATTCCATTTATTTATTTTTAATAATAATAATAATATCTCTTTAATTTGATCTATTTACACGAATAGCGTGTGCGTTATGTTTTATTCATAATGAAAATTGGAAAATATTATTTTTAAATATAAATTTTTCCTACGATGATCTACACAGTGTCTCTTTTCGATCAATAAATTTATTTATTTTTTTTAATTAATTAATTAATTATGCAACTAAACATGCAATTAAAATGTCACGTCGCCTTTTTTACAATCACATTTTTACACAATTTGTTTAGTTAAATCTTTTACAATAATAACAGCCGATTTAAATTTAATTATTCAGCCTATCGACTTTTTGAAATAAAAATTAAAGCAATATAAATTTGGCAACAAAAAAAAATCCCCTATCTAATTACACCTATAACTACCAAGGTAAAAGATAAATTATTTAAATAAAAATTTAAAAACACTTTGGCTACAATTGTCTCTCACCATCAGTACAATTTATTATAATTTTTATCTATTTACTTAGTTAAATCTTACTGGTATCGTTTATTTAAAAATTTTCAACAATGTACCTGCGTTTTAAACACAATCGACCCAAATCCGTACACCAACATTCTTCATTGTTTATTTATAAATATTATTTTTTTTTTTTTTTTTTTATAAATTATCTGTAAAACGTACGACTTTTTTTTTTTTTAAACTTTTGTTTCTTTTTATAGCGTTTTATTTTCTTGTCAATCGCCACCGACAGTACATTTATTCGAATAATTTATTTACTTATTAATAACAGTATTTTTGCTTAATTAAAATTTTTCGCCACAATTTTTTTTTGCCCCGGAGGCTTCCGTAGTCACTTCAAAATTCACTTCAAAACAATTAGACAACCAAAAGCATTAATTATTTTTACAACAAAAAATTTCAAGTACGATCATTTGAGTCGAATTTTTTTTTCTATAAATAAAACTATCTACAGTAATAAAAACATACCATTAAATAATAATCTAATTAAACAAAATTTTAATTGGATTGGTCGGTCTTCAGCGCGAAGAAAAATTAATTATAATATAATTATAATAATTATTTTAAAAAAAAATATATATATTATTAAGTATATATATATATATATATATATATATTTATATCGTTAACATTAATAAAAAATATTAAATTAACAGGCATTTATAATTTATTAATTATTTTTAATAATTATTAATATCTTCAGATAAAATTTTAATTAGTTAAAAAATTAATTAATAAATTATTAAAAAAACAGGTGTTAACCTGTTATTTTAATATTCTTAATTAATTACAATACAATAAAAAAAAAATAATAAATAATTAGTCGATGGACTAGAGAGGAAATATTATTTATATATTAAATATTATAAATTATTTATCATTATTAAACATTTAAAATTTAATAATAAATATAAAGGAGTGTCCCTGTCTATTAAATAGAGCCTTTAAAGACTCAACAATTCGTAGGCAATCTTGTCACCTTTCTTCAATAAACAATTCAATATAGGATATAACATTTATTATTTATTTATTAAATAAATAAATAAATAAACAATTTATTTATTTAATTAATTAGTTTATTTGTTTGTTAAATTTCCTATAGGGCGGTAGTTTTAAGTTTGGGACATCGCTGCAGCGACAAGCCCCGGGGCTCCAGCTCCTAAATGGCGTTGAGGGCTCTTGAGTCCTGCTGACGACGTCGCGAGACACTTCCGTAGTCGACGCCTCCCAGGTAAGACTCTTCTTCGGTCCCATAGTCATGCTCACGTTCTCGTTCTCGCTCGCGCTCACGTTCGCGTTCACGTTCACGTTCAAGCTCACGTTCGTGGTTTCGCTCCCGAGTTCCTCGCTCCAGCCTCGACCTCCTTGTACTTCCATGTGCTCCTCCGTACGCACTTTGTCCTAAAAAAAAAATTTTTTTATTAGAAAACTAAAATTAAAATAAATAGAAATTTTTTTTTACAAAAATTGGGTTTTTTTTTAAACACACTTTGAGTCAGTCGGTTTTATTTTTTAATGCAAATCACCCTGATGAAGAAATAAAAACATGCGACATTTATTATTTTTAATGTAATAATTTTTTTTTTATTTAAAAAAAAAATTCCATGCATAAAAAAAAATAAAATTCCATATTAGGTGGAAGTACTTATCAAAAATAATAATAATTGTCCATTTTATATTGTCGATAAATTAATAAATTAATAATAAAATAAACTATCTAAGTTAATATATTTATTATTATTATTAATATGATGTCTATTCTACAAATGCCCTTGCAGAAAAATAAATGAAGAGTAAATTGATAAAATCGGTTAAAGATGTGCTGCGCTGACATTGTTTATTATTAACTTTTATGATAAAGTTTAAGACGCATTCGCACCCTTTTCATGCCAATAAATTAGCGGTACTTACTAACGCGCATGTACAAATATTTTATACTAAAATATTTTTATCTATCATTTCTTTTAAATCTTCTTATTCTTAATAATAATGGATGGGTTGGATACATAATACTCTTGATTTAAAATTGGTCCACTATAATCTTGGGAAAAAATAATTCTTTCTCGCTCTCGCTCTCTCTCACTCTCTGGGTGCGAATCGTCAATATAAAAATAAATATATACATATTTTTCTTGATACTTTGTATTTATAATCACTTCCTAATACTCAATCTGGTTGCTTTTCGGACGATTCCTGTAGCAGCTACCGGATCTATTACTTTTTTTTTTTTTTTAAATAAAATATTACATAAATTAGTATTTTTTTTTTATTTATTTTCAAGCCGACTTTATCAATTATTCTCTTTCGTACCTATATATGTATAAATAAAAAATAAATTTATAATTAAAAACTCTCTCCTTAATTTATTTAAAAAAAAAAATGGTAATTATAAATTATTTTTAATAATTTTGTTAATAAAATAAATTAAAAAATAGCGTAGCGATAAATAGAAATTTTTGAATAATTAAAAGTAGCAGAGAGAGAGAGAAAGAGAGAGAAAGAAAAGAGTAAAGTAGTATATAGAGTAAATATTAAAATAAAAATATAAAATAAAAAAAAAATGACTAACGCGATTTAAAAATAATGAACTTATCACTGGGACAGATATAAGTGTGCAGACCCATACATAGATGCTGAAAATAAATAGAGAGTGAAGGCTAAGTACCCAAGTGGGTACTCTATTAAGTATTGAGGAACAAAATAATATAATTATTATTATATTAAGATTGATTGATTAATTAATAAAGAGAGGCGTGAGATTCAGTACCAACGACTTTCGATCGATCGATCAATAAATATTATAATTTAAGTTAAGAGGTTTGACTGAGAGATAACAAGAATAGATAAGAGGTGAAGAAGAAGTAGAGGTTGTTCAGACAGGCGAAAGAAGAATATTTAGATAATATAAGTTCAGCGTACATTCAGGTAATTTGCATTTACATTACGTACTTAGACTAAATATATTATATTATATATTATGCTGGTATAGTAATTATAGTAGTAATAATTATTGTGAATACAAACGTAACTGTTTCTGTTACCTCTGGAATCGTGAGCGTAGTATGAATCATGACGGCCGCCTAATATTTTTTATAGAAAAAAAAAAAAAAATAATTATAAATAAATATTTATATGCTGATAGTTATTGCCATTTTTTTTACCTTTTTTTTATTTTATTTACCGATCAAAAAGCGAATTTTATTTATTCAATACTACCAATTTGACCTTTAACTTTATTTTATTTATTGCAATTTAATATTTAATGACTTTATTTACTTTAAAATTTTATCCAGTGGCATTTTAGTAAAAAAAAAAAAAAAAAAAAAAAAAAAAATTTTAAAATTTTGCAAAAAAAAAAAATATATATATATATATAAATCCAACACACGAGTGTCAATTTATTTAAAGACAGAACGAAAATCGTTTGACGAATCTCTAAAAAATAAGAAAGAAAATAATAGAAATTGTCGGCACTTAAATAAAATTATCCTGTACAAAAAAAAATTAAAGTTGGATAATAAATGAAACAAAGTAAATTAGTAAAAAAATACCTGAAGGCACACGAGGTGCAAGAACGTCTACAGGAGCATCAGAAGCGGCTGTCATGGCTCTCGGTACCGGAGTGACCACCGGAGGATGCGTGGCTCTCCAGTAGGCCTCGAGGTACTCGGCGACGTGCTCACAAGCTTCGTCGAGCTGGTTTTCGTCCAATATCACGTCGAACATCTCCGGAGGACACTGGGCCAGCTTCTCCGCGGCGACCATCTGAACGTTGAGGTGTCTCGTCTGGGATTTGCCGCGGGATTTAATCAGTCTCTGTAGTACTTTTGGTGATGATATTTTCAAGTAAACGATAGTCGGGGCCAGACTGGTCTTGGCGAGCTGCGAGGGGTGATTTATCGTGTCGCAGTCCAGGACCACGAGCTGCAGGGTGCGAGCCAGCTCGAATATTCTCTCGATCTCCGCCTGGACCTCGGCTAAGCAGCTGCTGCGACTCGTTGACCGCTCCATTATTGCACGCTTCGTTGGATTGTTCAGCAAGGATTTCTTCGCTAACGATATGTCCGCCATTACCCTCGTTATTATTATCCTGAAATTGTTTTATTGATTAGTTCTTCTTTTTATTTTATTTTATTTTTTTATTTAAATAAATCTATATTATTGAGAGAATAAGAAAAATTTTGTATCCAGGATAGTCATATGATAAAATTGGTTTTTTTTTTAAAGAAATTTAGTGTCATTGCAAAGGTCTTAACTTGAATTTGTGCCTTTTCAAGCTTTCATTTCATTTTCACCGATAGTCAATTTATTATGGATAAGTATTTAGGCTGCATTCGAAAATGCTCTATCTCTAGATACATAATTAAGAAGAAATGACCTAGTATCTTGTAAACTATTGACATTTTTAAAGATATAAGCTTACCCCGACATTACACTCATCGAGACCTTTCATTTGAGTACCCACATCAATTTTTCATATACTTTATATATGAAAAATATATCAAAATGCATGTGAGTACTTGAATGAAAGTTCATGACGAGTGTAACATCAGGATGAGCTTATATCTTTAAAAACGTCAATATTTAAGAAAGTACAGTGCAATTTAACAAAAGTCATTATTTAATAAAGCAAAATTTGATTTATTTATAAGTTCAAAAGTCACGGCAGTCTCATAGTGACTGCAAGGTTGCTAATTTAACTTACCGTCCTTCAAATTTATGTTTTAAAAAATCAAAAAGCGCTTTTTGCATCATATCCGTGACCTCGTAGCCCTTTAACGATGGTCCTACTAGTACAACAGGCCTCATTGAAGGTACAACATCATACGGCGTCGCTGTTTCCTGCCAAATATAATTATAATTTTTAAATTAATAAAATTGAAACATTTAAACATTTACTGTTAATTACAAAAACATTTATAATTTATTTTTGTTCGACTTACGTAGGACTAAGCCATGAAATGCAAAAGAAAAATATTTTATCAGTCATTAATTTTAAAAAATAATTTAATTAAATTAAAAAAAATAAAATTACCGGCTTTTTGAAAAAGTTCTTCCGTTTCTCCTTGGCCGGAGGTGTTGTCAGTGTTGTTTTACCGGGCCTTGAATTACCTACACTATCACTATCATCGCCTGAATTTAAAAAGTAAATTCATTTAAGTAATGAGTAGGTAATTAAATTTAATAAAAATGAATTTAAAAATTTACCAGGTGTGGGTGGAGTGGAGCCACGCGATGGCATTCCACTCTCTCCGAGATTACTCGAGGAGCCGCCTCGCGTCGAATAGAGGCCCTTGGTACCCCTTGCAGTGCTGGCTTGGACCCTCAGGGACTCCAATTTAACCGGGGAGGGAATAAATCCCACATCGGTGCCCTCTTTTACTAGCCTTCCGATCCACCAGTTGTTGTCGTACTTTTCCTACCGAATATCAATAATTCATTATTCTATTTTTACTGATATAAATATAGGAATAATAGCGATTATTATTATTATTATTATGGAAGAAATAAAGTAAACAAGGGTTGGATAATGATTTTGTCATTAAAATAAATATTAAATAGTACCTTAATATGGAGAAAGTCACGAACGTTGAAACTAACAGCGGACCCGTGGACTGGTGAATCATCGTCGATGGATCCATCGTAACTCACGTTTGTTCGTACGGCAAACGCTACTGGTTTTGTCTATAAATATATTTATTATTTTAATATTTATTCATTATTTCCTTATATTATAAATTTCTATTGTCATTTTACAACAAGTAAACCTATATAAAATTTGTTTTATTATGATAGATAAATTATTTCTTGTCACGAAACAATTAAGCCACTTGCTGTCAAAATAATCCGAGTTATGTAATTGTCAGAAGTATTTATTTTTATATATATATATATATAAAATTTAACTTAAGTGTTTGTTATAAATAACATTCTTAAATACTTGTCAAGAAATTACAATAGTGTCTTTTAGAAGAATTAAAAAAATTTATCTTCAAAATTGAAAAAAATTATTTGATGCAAAAATCAGCAAAAATTTGATTTTTATTTAATTAATTATTAATAAAAATTCTATGAACAGTCAGTTCGTTTCAATATCATTGAATTTATTAAATTTATTTACAGTAAATAAATATTATATGAAAAAAAAAAAAAAAAAAACTTACCCGTGCTTTTTCAAGCTGACTAAGAGCTTGTCGTTCTTTTTCACGCCTCAAACTTTCTTTTTCTTCGTCAAGAGAAAGATCCGAGCTCGGTTGTGAATAATTTGAATCCGCCGAGCCCTGAAAATATAAATACAATAATAAATTATTTAAGTATACATAAATTGACTCTTAAATAAGCTCCAAGCTCAGCAAATAAAATTGATAATAATAAAATAAATAATATTTAAATGTGTTTTAAATAAAAATAAAATTGACATGTAAACTCAGTCTCGGGGGTAACGGTTACGGTATCCTTAGCAACGGCCTCGACTCACCCTGTTTTACCCAGGAAGCTTTTGAACGAGTGCCAAATGCCACACAATCTATAGTCATGCGCATATTTACAATATTTAACAATACATATTCTCATTTCTCAGGCAGCCTACATTCTTCCACCGATATTCACTTCTTATCGCGGTTATAAATTTATAAATTTAACGCTATTATCATTGTTATTATTATCTTAGCCATCGAAAAAAAAAAAATCTTGTGTCTAACATAATAAGAAAATAATTAATAAAATCGATGCACTTGAATATGTACACACTTGAACGATCATCCTCATACACGCTCCGTATAAATATTTGCATGGCTTCTCAAGCGGCAATTAAATATCTGTAACCATTCGCCTGTATTTTATCCAATATCGAGGTCATCACACAAATAACCCAGTGAAAATACATTGCAAATCGCGTAATATAAACATTACATATTATTCATTTTTTCTCAAACATTCTTCAACTCAATTTTAGAAAAAATAGCCCGCACTCTTAACCTAAAAAAATAAAATAAAAAAAAAAAAATACCTGAGTAAATAGCTTATTGTAGCCAGAGTTATGTTGATTATATCCTATCATTGCCGAAAAAAGAGCCACGCAGTAAACAAATAATTGTTTCTGCGCAGCTCTCCTTATTAATAACACTTGTTTATTTTATTTATTAACTTATAAAGTTTTGGAGATAAAAAAAATACTTGTCTTCAGATCATACTTATGTATTCTTCACCACTTAACTTCTAACCTTGTTTTTATTTTGTTTTCTGATATAATTTACTTAATTTGTTTATTTGTTTACTTATTTATATTATTATAAGAAGAAATAAATAATGAGGTTTATGTGAGATTAGTGTTAAATATAACAGAGTTACGAATCCACATGATGATGATTACGGTAAAGTTCAAAAGCCCGAGACACATTGACCGACATTTCATTCACTGACTCAAGTCTTACGGCGATAATAATACAATACCGCATTGCGCTGACAAATATTTTCTTTTTTTTTTTCACGCTTACGGCAGTTTATTTGGACACACCTGATGATACCACTTGATTTTTTTCGACCCATACAAATGATATTTACCGTGTGAAATAAATATATTATCTTTTTCCGAGTCTCATTTCCCGTTTCGCCACCTACCGAGAGACTGATTTCTTCACCAATTATTATTAGTTCAATTTTATCTCGACATTATATTAAATTAAACTGGATTTTTTAATTTAAAAATTTATTTTAGTGTGCGGCGAATAAAATAACGCGGAGGCACAAAAGTAGAGTGTGCTCGAGTAATTTTTTTCATACTGAGGGTTAATTTTGTATGGAAAAGTGGATGTAGTGCTAGTGAGTCTAGCGACGCACCAGCGCCGACGTACTAGATATAATAAATGTATTATATACAGACGAAGAATATAGGTATAGTATAGACATTTGAATATAGATGGCAGCGCATGCGCGATGGGGCAACAATCCTCGTGTGTCGTTGATTGAATCAACGACCCCTTGTTTTTTACCCCTAGACTAGATGAGACTCGCCCTTATATCGTTACTCTTAATCTTAAATCTTAAATCTTGCTTTTTTTCGTAACACTCCAATCAGTATTTTCAGTGTTTCGTATCGAAATTCCGCCCACGGATTCTTCCCAATCGATTTCTTCCCCTAGCGCTCATCTGAAATAATAATTAAACGTCAGACTGTTGATTAATTAGCCGGATAAATACCTAAATTAAACCAAAACTGCTGTATTTTATAATTGCTATTGTTTATTTAAAAACCTTGGTTATTATGCTTGCCGCCAGGTGGCCAAAAGAAGCTTCTACTGTCCGCAGGCACCAAGCTCATCGGCTGGTATACTATATCGATCGTAAACCCCGTATAAAGTAGAGTAGAGTATAATATAATGGGGGGGGGGGAGAGAGAGAGGAAGAGGAGACTTTTCGCGTTGGTGTTCACTCCGGGTGTCACGACTCCCTGTGGTATTCCGGTTGTACTCGCAAATGTTACGACGCGGCCACTGCACCCACATATCTTCGCTTATCACTTTCACCTCTTTTGGAAAATATTTATAAACAAATATTGTAAGCTATTTATAGCTTCTTTTGGGAGTTAGAATGGATGTGTGGGAAGAATATATTGAGCGATTATATATATTTTATCAAGTGTTTTTTAGAGGAGAAAATATTTACACTGTAAAAAATTTTTCGACATTGTGTTGATTTAACACACTAGAATGTGGAATTAATGTCAGTTTGTGTAAAAACAGTCAGTTACACAAATATTTGTGTCATATTTGATGACAATTTCTTTAATGTGTAGATCAAGATTAATGTTGATTAGGAAATAAATTGAGGATTTAAATTTAAGAATTTTTTAGGATGAAAAGGATTTTTTAGAAATTTAAAATATCTTTTTTGAGATTTTTGATGACTAATATGATTCATAATTATTAAAAAATGTAGAAAAAAAATAAATTTTGGATATTTGATGAAGTTAATTGTTTGAAAAAAGAAATAATATAAATTAGATGCAAAATTTAAAAAAATTAGGAATGTTACAATGTTTCTTAAGTAAATTATGTTTTTTAAATTGATTCTTTAAAAGAAAAAATCAAATTATTTATATTATAAAGTTAGTAAAAAATGAATTATTCAAAAAAAGAAATCAAAATATTAATATAAAAATGAAAACTTTGAAGGAATAAATTATAGTAAAGAAGAAATTTTTAAAAATTATTTCTTCTTAAAAACAAAAAAAAAAAAGATGATATCAACAAACTTCGGAATAAAAAATAAAAAATCTAAATTGCCTATTATAATATGCATTTTTTAATCATATTATTTACCTTTCTTCGGCCAAATGATTTATATTGACGTGTAGGACGCAAATGATGCGCCATTTTTGACTCAATATTTTTTTAACACAATAAAATCTAAATGAAGATATGTTTTAAGTACACAATTAAACAGAGAAGAATATAGTTTTAAAACAGAGTTTTATAAGAATAAAATTTTTGTCAGCTGATCATCTCCTTAACGAATTTATCGGACTTAATAAAGAGATTAATTGGCGTCATTAAAAAAATTTTGAGTTTGGAGGGCATATGTTATAGCACCGAAACATTGAGACGGATTATATTTATAAATCGGTTAGTTTTTTGAGTTACTTTTTACAAGAATAAAGAATAAAGATAAAAATAAAGCACGAAGGAACTTGAAAACGAAATAAATCTAGCGCAGTTGACGGGGACTGTTGATGTAATAGTAAATTTAAAAAAAAAAAAGTAATATACAAAAAAAAATATAAACGTGGATAACACGGACGCGATGACTTGATGACTGTCTAGCCCTCGCGAGTGCTGATCATTTTGGAACGCAACGCAACCTCCTACGCTATAAATAAACTTGAATTTACTACACTGCCAGCAATCGCTCCCTGACGCTTTTTAAATTTGTTATTCGTTGTTATTATTATTATTATTATTATTATTATATTAATATTATTATTTCCTAGTCATTTATTACTCTAATGTAAATATAATCGGCTATTTATTATCTAAAGTTTTTATAAACATCAACTCGCTTCTACTTCCTACATTTTTTTTACAATATTCTTCTTATTATATTCTGCTATGTTTAGTGTTTGTTACTTTGTCAAGTATTTTAGAATTTTTTTATCCGTGAAAATAGTTGTCGGGTTGCCTTGTACGTGTAATTAAAGATGTTATAAATAAGTAATGATTTATTTTTAATAAAACCTTGATCATTTTAATTTATATATTTAAAAAAGTACATTCAAAGACGTGGTTGATAAAGTAGAGGTTTTTGTGAGCTACTCAAGATTAGAGAAACAAACTTTCATGTGTGGCCACAAGAGGTCAATTATTGTTGGAAAAAAATTTCGATTTGGATTTTTAAAAAAAATTATGTAAAAATTTTATTGTAATAATCAGTTTTATAATAAAAAAAAAATTAAAAAAAAAAGTATTATTAATTTTTTATTAAATTAATAAAAAATATAATTTTTTTTAATGAATATCAAAAATTAATAAACTTTACTAATTAAAATAAATTAATAAAATTTTATTAACTGAAATAAAAAAAAAAAATAAAATTTTTTTAACCAGCAATAAAACTTTTAAAAATATTGAATAAAATCTATTTTTTTTAATTAAATAAAAAAAAAAACAATTAAGCAAAATAGCTGGTAATTTATTGACCGAATAAGAAATAAAATTTTTCCAATAATTTAAGAAACTTTTTGATAAATAGCAGCGTCCCACGAGACTAATTAGTACGTAAAAAGCTTCAGATCTAATTAATTATTTTAAATATTTTTTTTTTAAATATAACTCTGAGTAATAAAAAAAATTTGTTTAATTCATTGGACTTTCCAGAAGAGAACTAAGTCCAAGTTATTTAATTACATTACAGGATTCATAAATATAAAAAAGTAAAAATAAGAATAAGAAGTAATATTAAAAATTAATACTCTGATATTTATTTACCCGTAATATGAATAATTTAGTAATAAATACATTGACTAAATATATAAAAATAACGTATTAACTTTGGGTCTCTCTCTTTTAATTTTTCTCTCCTTCTCTTTGTAAGTAAACCCACAAAAAATCTACAAAAGTAATAAAAATAAAAAAATAAATAAAAATGCGTATGAGACACTCGAAATCCGTATAAGGAAACCTGTTTACACGTTTTATCGTTTACCTACTGCCATTAACTGTACTTAATAAATTCACCTACACTACAATAACAAACCTCACAATAAACCATCGCAATATTTAATTAAATAATTAATTATTTTTTATTAAATTTTATTAATCAGTTAACAAACAAATCCAAATTAACTAATTTATTCTGGCTCTTCACTAAAAAAAGAGACAAAAAAAAACTTGAATTTAACTATTATATCTATCGACTGACAAAAGCTGACCTTGATCTTGACTAGTATGAGCACGAATAAAAGAAAAAAAAAATAGTAAGATATATAAATGTATATGTCTATAATTATATTTTGTTTCTTTTGATAAAATCAAATTCCGTATGTTTTTTAATCACGCATTTTAGTTTCGAAGATTTTATCAATTTTATTAAATGATAGTGTTTATCATTAATCCGCGGTAATGTTTTAACTTTATACATTCTTTCATTATTATTAACGATAATGATAAAATAGACCAAGATTACTTCATATATAAATGTGCTATATATATAGCAATTTTTTTAATTTCATCATCAACACACGCATCAAATTACTTTTTTTTTTTGGTAAATTTATCTAAAATTTGGCACTTTAAGACATTTACTATTTTTAGTTAAATCTTTTTACAGATAACTAAGATACTATATCGTATGATCTTCTCTTGAAGATTAATTTTTAATCAAAATGTGGTCAATAAGATAGAACTTAATATTCTGAAGACAAAACAAAAAAAATTAGAAAAACGGTTCACCCTAAAGGCCATCCCTGCAACTTCCCGCTCATTTTGTACTTGAACGCTTCAAACTACACATTACGTTTTTGAGCTCTTCGAGCTCAAAAATATTATTTTTGTGTCAATTTGAGCTCTTCGAGCTCAAAACTCTGATAGCAGTTTAAAGACACAATTTTTTGAATTTTCAAACGGCAATAACTTTTGAATGAATGAACCGATTTTCACACGGTTGGCGGCAATCGACGCAGTTTTTGAAGCTCCATGAAAAATTTTCAAGTTTAAATCGATCGAGCTATGAATTTCGAAGTTATTACAAAAAAAACACTTTGTTCGATTTTTTTCGACAACAATATCTCACGAACGCATCAACCGATTCTAACGTTTTTGGTGGCGATCGATGGGGGTTTTCAAGGTTAAGAGCTGATTAGTTTTTGAGACCGATCGGTTCAGCCAATTTGGAGATATTTAAAAAAAAATAAAAAAAAACAACTTTTTTTTTTACTTTTTTTGCATTTTCTCGAAATCTACCGGTCCGAATCGGTTCAAATTTTCAGGAAATCTAAGTTTAGTGAAGCCCTTTCGAATGACACCAACCGCGATGAAATCGGTCAAGTCGTTCAAAAGTTACAAGAGGTTTACACACACACACACACACACACAGACGTACGGACATCATCGTAAAAATAGTCAGGGAAGCTTTCTGTGACCTTCAAACGTCGAGATCTGATGAAAACTCGATTTTTGTAAAACGGGGTGAAAACAATAACTTCCCGATTTTTGAAAATCTGAGATTTTTAGCGGGAAGTTAAAAATTGTTATTTTAATTGTCTACTTAATTCATGCAATTAAACCCTTTTTTCGTGAATGCGCGTCACCTTGGACTCACGTGGCGCCGCTTCAGTGCGTAAAGCGCTACTTTGCGAACACATTAATGATAAATATATCCAAAGTTCTAATTAGCAAATTGTCCAATTTTATTTTAAAATTTTGCATTTCTAGGAAAAAAACAATTTAATCAGTAATTAAAATATTGCGTAAAAATTATAGTGCATTTTTTTTGAGCGTCAATATAGTCTAAAAATTTTATTAACTCTATAAAGACATTCTCAATTTGAATTTCAAAGCAGTATTATTATTATTCAAAATTTTAATTTTGAATAATAATAATAATAATAATAATAAGAGGATATATGTATGGTTGATACTAAATAATTTTTTTTGTTATTTTGAGGACTTAGTTATCTTAAAGTTACAAAGACTTTAGTGTGGTACCCGAAAGAAAGACAAGGTTTGGCCACAGGTACTGATGATGCCGCAAAAGGAGAATAATAAACCACGATAAAAAATAAATAAAAAAATGATGGTCGAGAAGAAGTATATGTATAAGTATTAGTGGTAACTGGTAACAGTTGTGTTGGCTGGTGTTCGGATGTTCGGATCTTCGGATTGAGGATCCAGCATAGCACAGTATAAGTATAAGCTAGAGTAGAATTTTTAGCCGTCGTCGTGTATAATGGCAACGTGTTTTCGTCTAATGTACTTTTTGTAGTGTCCTTGATGGAGGAGTCTGCGAATGCAGAACTACAGGGTCTGTGGCATCACCACGAGCTGGTAAAGGGAGCAAGATATATACCGGGACCCATGGCAGAGAGACGAGGATCGAGCTTAAGAACGAGAGGAGGAGAATCCAGAGGAGGTAGAAAAAGTCGAGGAAGAGAGGAGTCAAGAAGTTAAGAAGTGGAGGTAACACTGAAATAAGGTAAAGGGGATATAGGGTCTACGAAATAGCGAGCAACACCCCAACCACCGTATTGGTATATATACTTTGGGCCTAGTCAAGGTCAATTGTACAAGGATTTATATATATATATATATAGCGGCGTTGCCTCCTCATGTCCCTATTCTATACTTTATACTTTAATCTATCCTCTTATTCATTAGCTTCTTTTTTTATACCGTAGCTTACTTATGTATATTTTTTTGCTCATGGAAATTTCGAGTTTATACACTGTAGGCTCATTTAAACTCTTTTTATTCTGCAGTCATTTTTAACCCTCTGCATACAGGGTCATTTTTTATCAGCATTTTTTCTTTTTTAATCACTATTTATAATTTTTTATTTAAGCTTACATTTACTTTATTTTATTTATTTTACTTTCTTCCTAATTAAATTACGACAAAGTAATGAAATTTAAAATTATCTCATTAAATTAACAAATTTTTAGATTAATTGAATTTTTAGTCAATTTAGAGCGTTAATTTTTTATTTAATTCAAAAAATATCAATTGATGTTTTTTGAAATAATTAAAAAAATTAATATTAATAAATTTGTTTTAGAATTTTAAGACTTAAAATTTTGAAATTGCGCAAAATTTATTGGAGTATTAAATAGTTTTTGCTATTACCCAAAATTATGGAGTAAACACTGAATAAAAAAATGATAAAT